GGAAACTCAAGGTCGCTCAGAGGGCAATGGAAAGGGCTATGCTCGGGGTTTCTTTGCGAGATCGAATCATAAATGATAAGATACGAAGCAGAAGAACGAAAGTCACCGACATAGTCCAAAGAATTGCGAACCTCAAGTGGCAGTGGGCAGGGCACATCGCTCGCAGGACTGACGGCCGTTGGGGCGGTAAGGTCCTGGAGTGGCGACCGCGTACCGGGAGACGCAGTGTTGACCGACGATCTGGTGAAGGTCGCGGGAAGCCACTGGATGCGGGAGGCGCAGAACCGTTCACATTGGAGATCTTTGGGGGAGGCCTATGCCCATCAGTGGGCGTCTCTTGGCTGAAATTATGATGATGATGACGACGACGTGACCGACCCTTACGAAAGTTAACAACAACGATTGCGGATCCCGACGCTTATCTACTACGTCACCGAGCTAAACAACTTACATAAGTGTATAAAATTTCAATCCAAACTGTCCCGATTCACTGCAGGAGAGTTTTCTGTAATGAAAACATCGACCAAATAAAGCCTACTTGTAAACGTAATAAAAGTTTTATTTCATTGAAGAGACAGCGCTGTGCTAAAAGTTGTATTTAGTGTTTTTTTTTTTACAGAAGAGCATAGCTATAGTTTCAGATAATATCCTATGTAACAGACAGTTTAAAGGCCGGTTTTCCTTGGGAAGAATCCCTAAAAAGTGTTAAAAAAAATCGATGATTCGCCTTGTTCAAATTTAGACAGTGTTCAAAATAACCGTCGTCGCCGACTGACGTAACTCCCCTCTTTAGCCGTAACTTACAAACCGTCAACGGGCCGACCTTGAAACATTAAATTCCAAATATCATCAACGGCCACTCGATCTCGGTAACGATGTTTTTGAATTGCAAATCGTTCGCAGTTTTCTTGCCGTAAAAAATATTGATATAGATAATTTGCCAAAAACGTCAATGCATTCACAATTCCAATTAATATTTAACTGTTAATTGATTTATGAATTAGTATTAGCTACATACGTAGATACCCTAATAAGCTACACGCTTAGATACCCTAAAATAACTTCTTTGTTACAAAATACTTGCATCTTATTTTTAGTATTTTTACGCTTTCAGCATCTCATTTAACTTAACAGAAATTTAATTTAACAGAACTTTTCTCTTATGGATTGCTGGTAATATTATGAATACACAGGTTGTTATTACTCGTTTAAAATCATAGGTCCAAAGCCGTCGATTACAACAAAGCCAACGATAAATTTCAAAAATATGTTAACAAATCATATGTCTAAAATACGTTTCCTAAATTCATTATTTGCTTGTATTTCCTTTTACCTAGAAAATTTCTTAATTGGTTAACATTACTTCACTTCACGCCGCCAAGCAATTATCCATTCATATTAATTAGATTCACACTTGCTAATTAAGTAGAGGATTACAAGCAATTAGCAACATTTAAAATCATCAGTGATTCGTAGAGGACCCTCGTTATTTCATTTACAAATACTAAACAATAGTGACACTTACTGTTCAGGCAGTAGTCCGAAAAAAACTTAATGTCACGTATTTTCCACTTTTATACTTGGGTCTTTAGATATTCATATAACTTTTTAGGTGACCGACAGTGAACACCACGAGATTGAAAAAGTTTTTTAAAATAATAAAAATTATAAACAACATGTTTATTATTTTACATCAGGAACATCTGCACTACTGTGATTTAAAATAATCCACTTAAGGCCAGTAGCAGAAACGTCCATTACAGCTTAATGTCGCCTTTAAGCTCTAATGAATGTCGAATTTGTATGGGTAACGTCATTTTAAACTAATGACAATTTAACTGGGCGTTTTTGCAACTAACGATTAGACTTATAATAAAATCAATTCCTATTTGAAACTTAAAAGCATGTTGCTGCTAAAAAAAGCGAAATCGGGTAGACAATTTTACTTAGACCTATTCAATTTCAGTCGTATATTGTTGCTAATTCTGTCTCTGTTTTAACAGACACTTTCACATTCGTAAAAACGCTAAATATTGAGACGACCGTCATTGTCACACGCGTTATGTTATGTGTCCGGAAATAAAGGAAGCTTCGGTCACGAGGTTCTTCATTATGATGCAACGCCGTTGTATAATCGAACACCACTGACACTCCTTTGATGATAGCGAAACGCTGCATCGATGATTTGATTTGCATAGTCTGGTCGCTGAACCGAAACGAACATTCAATCAATTTGTATGGCCAAGAACAGTAAACTATTTTGTCATCGCACTAAATATAACAGCTATCTGGGGTAATACTGACTGAAGAGAAGCATTCTCTTGAGGTTCTATGCCTTTAAATATAGTTTCAGTAAAAAAAAAGAGAACCTATACAAGTTACAATTGTTACAATATATTGAAATCCACTTCCTTGATTATCTCACATGTACACGCTTAATTTTTGCAGTTTGTTTTGTATTTTTATATAATTATGTGTAACGAGGAAAATATAATAAAAATATCCACCTAATAGATGTCAGTTGCTTACTAAATTAAAAAATATATCCTAAACAACATTCTTAGAAAAAACCTTGGAAACTTAAAATGCGCCGGCACTGTTGTTACATAGCCCATCGTCATGCATATACACCGCCTGCATTGTTTTGGATTTCTTTCAGGCATAGCCTTTGTTCAGCAGGCCCGTCAAATATGCGTCAGCTTTTTAAACCGAATTGTTAAGAAGTAACACGTACTATTTGTTGTTAATAATGCAGGTTGTTTGTCCTACTTTCTGCCGGATTTTGCTAAATACAAAACAATTATAGCTCAATGTCCTCTCTGCAATTAAGTTTGCTTAATCCGGGATCTTCCCAAACTTTCTGATTAATTTATTTTTAAAAGGATCCACTGCCAGAATATATAAAATATATGTCGCAACCAACTAGTTAAAATAGCCGTTCAATTGAACCTAACCTCGAATTAAATTTCGAGTTCTGACTAAACCTATAACATGACCTTAAGGACCAAAATAACTTCGTTGTTTATAATTTTATGTTGTTCTTAACTATTGTAGCACTTAATTTCGAAATCGTAATAAACATACTAAAATAATCGCAGTTAAATAAATCGCTTACTCTCATTTCAAGGGATGGTGTTGTGGTCATCTGAATCACAGTATACCTTGTCTTTGTATAATTTAATTAGTATTAAGAGTTTATTATGAAAGTTTAAGCTTAATCCACTTGCGTAATTTAATTGGTTGGCTGACTGTTGTTCAGCCGTATTCGGGAGCGTTGCAGTCACTGAAAGTCAGCCCGTTAATTGTATCGCGCTATTCAATTAAAGGGGTAGTCGCCCAATTGGTCGGCCGATTACACCACTTGGCTATGTGGCAGCCATACATACACCATGTTGTGATGAACTAATCTCAACAACTTTGCCCTTTTTGTCAAATGCCGCCTTGATACCTTGACGCCTCTAATAACATGTCACTCATGTTGCCATTGTAAAGTTGTGTAAGCCGAAATGACAGTGTGATATTTGGGTCCATTCATGGATCTCAATAGGTGATACCGTGCTTGCTCAATAGTATCGAACGATCATCTGGCATAATGTATGTCACCAGTTCTATTTAAATTTTCAGATGAAACGAAGCATAGCAAACAAATAAGACTAATGTTAATAGCAACCTATTATCTTAATAAGAAAACAACTTTTGAGTTTATGAAAATTTATTTCTGTGGTTTAATCGACGAAATTTATTCCAATAATGAAATTCTCCAATATTTGTTTTGAATACGTCACATTTTTCTCATAAGTAATTAGTTTATTTTACGCAAATTTCATTCTTGACGAAGGGCCAGCGTTTTTAGCAAGCCTTAAAAGTAAAACTTAAATTCTAAATGTAAGCTCACGTTCCTAGTTCACGTCATAGTCCTGAGGACCATAGCAAACTCGATTGTTCCGCGTGTGGGGGCAGCATGTGAGGGGGGCGCAGGCGCAGGAACAAAGCGTAGGGCATCGACCGCTCGACCGCGCTCACCTCGCCTTCGATACTCACGGATTTTGAAATAACGTATACCGCGTATAACAGTCACTAGACTATCCCTATTACGCATTCAGTCCACCCCCTGCATGAGAGCGGGACAACACGAACGAGTGCCATGTTTATGTACAATGCGAATTTCTAGATTTGATGCACAACAATACATTGTAAATTGCGGATCTAATAGAAAGAAACTCGTCATATCATAACTCTGTATAAACCCTTGAGTACTTACTAAAATTAAATTTATTTTCAATGGCTTTTCTTTCCAACAGTAACCTTCATCTCTAATGATTCATAAGAAAATCTTTAAAAGAAATGGGTTTTGTCTTGTCCTTTGTACACATAATTAGGTAAGCGTAGTTATAACATATAATCTTATATATGACGATTTTTGTGGGCGAGTGGCTTAAGGTGTTACCATCTCTGGTGTGCCAGGTTGGATCGATTTCGATTAACTTTTTTATAATATCGTGTGTCTGCGTAATGTTGTAACTTCGTTATTTCGGCAAACCCTCCGGTGCATAAACACGCTTTGAGGTTTGAAGACGCCTTTAAAGTCTTATTAATTTTCTAAATTTTAAAATTCGTTTAGTGTTATCGCTTTAAGCTAATGATAATTTCAATGGACATTTGTACAACTGGAGTTAAGAAAATTTTGGTATCCGAGCGATATAGATGTATAATGTTATCTATTATTTATTAGAGCTATAAAGTTCGGTTAAACCTCAATTAATTACACGTAGCAGATACTATAATACTCGTAAATCATAATAATAAGATTCTACTACAGTTTTCTAATTCCCAAAATCTGATTGAAACCAGATCATTGAATTCTCTGGGGTGACGACCTACAAATAACTCCTGGCATGCAGTCTGTATTTACATAGGTGCATTAGATGCAGCTCGTAACTTCTGATCATATAGATAGAAGAAAATTGTTTTGTATTAGTTTCTGTTCTGGAAATTTATTCACGATATCATTTATACGTCTTTTATTTACTTAACATCATACTCTAATTAGACTATCACACTAATGTATTCATAAAAGATCATTAAAGTCAAAAAATAAAAGTTCATATTGTCTAAGAATATTGTAACACATAAAAAGTATTAATAAAGTAATAAATTGAACTGTTTGCCAACAAATTCATATAAAAACCAAGATTATTATCTACTTACTTCAGTGGCTCAGCTACCCTAAGTGGATCTTGGTTTCGGTTCAGCGGTTAAACTCAATCGAGTACACGAGATTCTTTTAAATCTTTGGCGACTTAACTTTTCCACCAATATCTTGAGCGAACCACCCTTCGTTCTACGTGTCTCAGCCAGCGAAGTCAGGTCGATTTTTTTTCCCCGATTATATTACACTGGACACTAATTCTTCTATTTCTTTTTTGAACTCATTTACGAAAACATTTTTGTCTAATTGAAGTAATGAAAACGAAAATTTTCTTTTAATTCCAGAGGAGAGAAATTATATGTCACAGCGGACAAACGAGGCGAAAAAGGAGGTTGCAAACGACCTCTGTGCTGGACGCTCCTGGGACTGGTGATCGCGACAATAGTGGCGTTGATTGTACTCGCAGCCAGTGAGTATTAAAAATATTATCTTTATCTTAAGGCCCTCTTGTACCTTCACTTACGTTCCCATACAAATACGCACCGAGGGTAAAACGCGTTCGCTTGATTTCATACATTTTTAATCACAGAAAAAATCTTTAAATGATTTTAGAGTAATCTTTGCGATTTTTTTCATAGAGCAAATTCTTGAAATTTATGTATCTGTTTTTAGCAAAAACCAATCATAATTATGTTTAATTTTCATAAAGTGATTTTTATTTGGCAAATATTAGTAAAGCCTTGGAATAAAAGTGATTTAAAAAGTGGTAATCTTGTACAATCTCGCCTTAACAGAAAAATGCTTAAAATATTCACCAGCCCCCGGACCCCGAGGTAAAACATTTTGAATGTAAAATTGATCAAGTAAGATATTATCTCATCTCGAGACATATTTTTCTTTAATGCGCCACGCATTCCTGGCGGTAGGCAGGGCAGTCAGACTCGAGAAAGGATCATTTTCTTTAGTATATAGTTGATAGAGATATCGAAGGGGTTAATGTCTAATGACTTAATTATTGCTATGCTATTCTGTTAAATCAGCTTCGAATCGTCATCGAACACAACGCCATCATATTATAGAGCTCTAATGAGAAAAACCTTAATTACCTCATGAAGTAGGTTTGTTTTGAATTAACCTCTATGCTCTGACAGCGTTGCATGGCGTTGCCTTCGACGACGAGCTCCAAAATGATTTTTTTTTAAATAGCGCTACAGAATTAAGACAAAAGAGCAGTTTACAGCCTGCAAATGTTTCCCACATGACATAATAACATTCCTATCGTCGAAAGATGCTCCCGCATGCGGGCCCTATCGACCAATAAAAAGGCAGTGAAAACGCGAAGGCGTAGTCGATAGCCCATACTATTTGCGATTGCGCAGATCAAAATTTCTTGAAGACCTAGTCTTCGGATGGCTAAAACCTATAATAGTAATTTCGAACTCCAAACTAGCGTAATCATCAATCTGCAGACCACGTAGCATGAAAAACAACGCTTTGTCTACACCCACTTGTTACTTTTCTCGGGTGCGTTGACAAAGCGTTTCTCGAGTTTATCACGCTAGTAAACCTATTAATGTCCCCACTTATGAGGCACAGGCCTTCTCTATATAGATAGACTCGTGTAGGGTGCTAACGTGACATCGTAACAATATTATGATTATGCATTAACAAAGCTATAGGTATTGCTATTCATCTTAAAAACATGTGATAAAAAAAGCCAGCTCAGGTAGTTGATCTGGTATGACAAAAATTACAACTATTTTTTGCTAATCATTTTGTATTTAAAGAACAATGTATAGGTATCAAATTCCATTGGCCAGATAAATTGTGTATTGAGTATATGGTTCTGTGATTCGAAAAACATTACACTAGTTACTGCTGCTGTTTGTTTGTATATCAATAAATGGCACGAGTATTCTAATATCAATTCGATAAAGACGATTAAATACTTACGTTATAAGTGCAAAACATGTTATAATTCCAGAATATGAATCTATATTCATGGTCGAGTAAATTCAAAAATCACTTTTCTACATTTTCTGGTCTGGGTGTCGTTACTGATATTGATTTCAATATATTTCAGCTGGTGTACTTTTCGCAAACTCACCAACGACTGTTGAACAATACAACTCGTCGATTAGTTCAGCGCGAGCACTCGGAGGCATCGACAATTTCAATCAAGACAAACATGACGACCACGCGGACCACGGCGCACAAACTACAACTGAACAGACGCAAAACGACGAAGGTCTCGAAAGCTCTGATGAAATAGCCGACGCTTCTATGTATGGTTAGTGTACGCATTTCAATTAACCGAAAATATCGCTAAACTAAAAATTCTACATCATCATTATCAGCCCTTTTACGCCCCACTGCAGGGCTAAGGGATTCCTCGATTTGACACGCCGCTAATGCAGTTTATTCCAAAATTAGAATGTTATGAAACGAAACTGACAAATGAAGCACGAGGATCTTTATTTTGTAATAAGTTTCGTAACAACTACATTCATATAAAATCAGATATTTAAAACATATATTCTAGTACCTATGTGTCTCTTAGTACCTATGTACCTATTTTAACAATGTCTGTTTCTATAAATAAAAGAATCTAATTTGTCTTTTCCGACAGTGCCCCGAACAGTTGAAGGTGAATTGACCATAGACAATGAAGATTTCACTCCTGAAATGCAGAATCCTGATAGCCCAGAATATCAACAATTTACCTCTACATTCAATGAGGCATTGAAAAAGGCTATATTTGATCGAAACACTATAGAAAAGGGAAACAACGATATTACCATTGAAATCATAGAAATCAAGTGAGTAATCCTTAAATTACTTGAACTTTATGAAATGAATTATTTTGATGACCATTTTACTCTTTTTAAATTGTATTGATCAATACTTTTTCATTTACAGAAAAGGATCATTAATAGTGACCTATAGAATTCACTGGACTCCGAAGGCAAATTCAGAATCTAATGAAGAGTTACTAACAGCAAAAACATTACGGATGAAATTGAACAACTATCTCTCTAAAAACGATAGAATGATTAGCACTTATCATGTAGCAGAAAACAGAATTACATCAAGGCCTGTTCTAGATATGTGTAAATTAAGCAATAACGAATGTCAATACAAATGTGAATTCGATGAAACCACTCTAGATTTCACATGTACTTGTCCACCTGGTAAAGTGTTAGATATTGCAAATCCCAAGAAGTGTATTACACTCTTCCCAGACTCCGAACCAACGGATTCCCGTTTTGATGAAAATACCAAACAAAAAGATGTAAATTTCGAAATGAGTACAAACCCAAGTACAACAAAACCGGTTTCAGAAGAAGAAAAATCAGATGAATTCGAAACAGTGATGAACTTCCAAAATTCGAATCCAAAATCTCATGATTCTGATTCGACACAAGAAGACGAAAACGTCGTACTTCATAATAGTCATGCACCTGAACCTGCACCAGTAGCAGAACCAGAGCCTACATCTGAACCGACATCCGAACCAATTACAGAGTCTACCTGGTTCGGTATGAACGCAGAAAGGGTTGACCTACCTTCCAAACCAGTTTCCAAACCATCTGCTGAACCATCTGCGGAACCGACAGCTGAACCATCTGCTGAACCAACCACCGAACCAACTGCTGAACCATCTGCCGAACCATCCGCCGAACCATCAGCCGAACCAGCCGCCGAACCAGCCGCCGAACCAGCCGCCGAACCAGCCGCCGAACCAGCCGCCGAACCAGCCGCCGAACCAGCCGCCGAACCAGCCGCCGTACCTACCGCCGTACCTACCGCCGTACCTACCGCCGAACCTACCGCCGAACCAGCAGCCGAACCAGCCGCCGAACCAGTCTTCGAACCAGTCTTCGAACCAGCCGCCGAACCATCCAAAGAAGCATCTGCCGAACAATCTGCCGAATTACCAGTCTTACCATCCATAGAACCAACTGCTGAACCATCCGCTGACTCAAATACTGAACCAGCCGCTGAACCGACTCCTGAACCATCACCTAAGCTAGTGGCTGGACCAGAAACAGAACCTACAGCCGAACCACAGCCGACTTCAGAGCCACACACATCGGCAGAGTCTGTAACGACTACACCTATAACTTTAAGTGAGCCTGCAACAGATTCGTCATTTGAAGTGGAATCAGCTTCGGAATCTACTCAACCGAATATACACGATTTCGTGCACATATTCTCGAAACTGCCTAAAGGATCTTCAATCGAAGCGGAAACCACCGTCGAACCCGAACCGTCTACGGAACCTACGCCGATACACAAAATTCCCGGATATCTTGAATCTACTATTTCAAATAATATGGACTCTTCGGATGAACTAGAGTCACATAAAACTAATGCAACTGACGAGCCTTATGGCAGTTACGAAACTGAACGAACTTCTCTTGAAATAAGTCCAAATGTTTATAAAAATGAATATATACCTAATAAAGTAACTTCATTAGAAACAACTACAATAAATGATGGCCAACAACGTGTATACGAAACCAAAATCGAACCGACCACAGAAAGCGATTGGCTAGAAAATGGTAAAAACTATATAAATATAAATAATCCTGATGTATTTACTCAATCACGGTCATTTTCATCAGGAGTCAGTGAAATATTAGCTGAAATTACTACAGAAAACAATAGTGAAGACATTTCTTTTCACAATATAATAAACAAAAGTAAGTCAAATTCAGATGAAATTACAACTATGCAGAACGAGGAAAATACTAAAATGCCATTAGTGGAAAAATCAAACAGCGAATCTACAGTTTTAGTAACTACATCTACGCCTACACAATCTATAAATGAATCTTTTAATACAATGAAGATTTCCGGAAATATTATGTCTGAACAAACAACACCGAACGGCAATAATTCAAATTCAACTGACAATATTATGGATCTCACAACTACAAGTGGTCCTGAAACAGACACTGAATTTTCTTTAAATGCGTTAAATAAATCTGAAGAAGATAAGCACTTAATGGACGCTTTAAAGACTGTAACTGCAAATCCTATGGCATCAAAAATTTCAACGACAGAAAAAGATTCACAGGACGATAGTGTGGATATAACCTTTGAAGATATTAACGCACCAGTTTCTTTCAACCGTTCATCAAAGTCCATACTCAATGAAAGTACAACTCAAGAATTATCAGAAATAAATAGCACTACGGAGTCAGAGTGGCTAGTAGAAAACATCACAGAAGTCCCATATGACGAAGATATGAACAAAATGAAAAAGATCATGACAACTGAAACTTCCATAAACAAGGCAGATGAACTTACAAATCAAGGCGACTTTGAACCTGATTACTTCAGCAATATGGGCACTACTAATAACAAAATGTCTGATACTGACGTACCTATATACGGCATGATACAAGACTATGACGGTGATTTACGAGTAAAAAGGGTTAATGAAGATGAAGAAATGAACGCCACTCCGGTAATGCTGGAAGAGTTAATGACAAAGTCAAATTTAAAAGAAACTACTACTGAAGTAATCTCTACGGAAAGCTCTCAGAATAAATCTGAAACTACAACAATAACCGAATATATTTACAAAACTACTGAACAAGACGCAATTTTGCCGACTTCAGAACCACAACCAGCCCCTGTTTGGGAACAACCTGAAACAGGTATGGACTTTAGTGTTAAAGAATTACCGTCTAATTTAACCAAAGATCTTACAACGATATTAACAAATACTCCTGAAGAAATAACGTCGATTCCCGAAACTGAAACTGAAAATAAGGAAGAAAGTTATGAACACAACAGAAATATAACGCAGATTAGAAATTTGAACGTCAACGTATATGAAGTGTCTAGTCATAAGGAAAACAATACCTTTTCCACCACAAGTACAAACTCCCACTCAGCAGAACACGAGGAACCGGAATCAGAAAACCCTTTTTTGCCAGAAGTCGAAAACAATAAACATCTGGTTAAGAAATTACAGGAAGGGCATGATATAGAACCAACTAGCGTAAATGAAACACAAAATGAAAACGTCGAAGAACATAATATTAATATATCAGACTCACAATCATCTTCAATTAATGAAGCAGTAACGACTGTGACTACACATAGTGAGAGTGGTGGTGAGACGGTTGAGGATAATGGAACTGATAATTTAAGCAACGAATCACAACCAGAAAAAATGAATAACATGTCAAACGATACAGAAGTATCAAAATCTGAAGAAGCAAAGATGAGAGTGGGTACTGAACAAGTGGACTCTATGGAACAATCAACTTCACTTATATCTTTCCTGTTGGACACTGATGATTTAGACAAAAACTCAGTGACTACAAAAACAGACGGAATAATTAAGGAATCAAACTCAATTTCAGACGAGCTCAGTGTTATCCCTGTAGCCAAAAACATTCCAGAGACATCGTTGAAAAATTTTGACAAAGAAACCAATCAAAAACTCAATGACATCGCAAGTGATTCAACAAAAAATAGTGACAGGACTCAAAAAGTCGTATTCAGCAATCAAAATTCGATACTTAATGCGGCGTAGTGCTCGCTCACTTTAGTTAGTTGTATGCAGTAAGTTTTTAATTACTGTTATGTTTCCTGTGATGCTATAGTAACTGTCGAACAACTTATTTGAACTATAAACAGTTTACGCCAATGTAAATGCAACATTTTAGTTATTGGTATTTAATTTAGGTACTTATTTGTTGTGTGAATACAAATGTATCACACATATTCAATAGTGCCTAGGTGCCAACTCACCTACTACCTTATGAGGAAGATAATTGTTGAGTATGTCGATATACCTATATAATATTTTATTAGACTAGTCAATCTAGGAAAGAGTCATGTCATCTTGAGGTTTAGATTTATTTATTGCTTCAATAATAATTATTTGCAGATCGGTGCAAGTACCTCGCTTTCATATTTTTCTGAATTTCCAAATTTATATGTAATTATTTTCTCAAGCACAGGAGAAATTTAGAACGTATTCCTACTTTAAATTGTTACCAGAACTAAATGTATATTGTAGTTATTTTATCAAAAATTACGTAACATCGTAAATGGGTGAAATAAATTATTTCACTGTGTGATGAAATAAGATTCTGCCATGCTGTAATGTGATAACTTGCAGATATTATGGACAATCCATTCGCACTTATTTTAACTTAGAGGGTCTGACTGTAATATAATAATTAAAATAGTAGTTGTTAACTAAGATATATTTTGTATAAATGGTTGAAATTGTAAAGAATTACGTTGTAAATAAATTTAAAGTTAATACATAAATATGTGACTTATTTAACAACTTATCACTAATTATCACAAACTATAATAAGTACTTTTTATAAATTCATACAATAGCTACTTGTAGATAAAGGAAACTAAATAACACTCACACTTAATGTCAGTTTAAGGTCTTCGCTATATACCTTTGCATACTATCGCCAAAGTCTAAAAAGGTATTGTGTAACAAAATATATGTTATAAGAACATGCTGCTTCTGATAACAAGCAACCAACACCTCTTGGAGTAATGTTTAATCCGTGCAGCGAGCGGGACAGCGCAGCATACCAATACGAGTGTAGATAGTAGACGAAAATAAATACATATCATTATTTTTATTCGGGCAGTTTTTAATATGTTACCGATAATCACACTTTTATGCTTATTATATTTATAATATTGCTTAAACTAATTACGAAAAACAAATATATTTTGTGCTCGTGATTGCAACGCCCCAACGCCGTCACACCCTTCTTCCTCATATCAGAACTTAGAGAATTCAACCTTACCCATACATAGAACGATATTAGGTCAAAGTGCCGTGACGTTATAGTGACGCCATGACAGAAGTGGTGTTTTCGCGGGAAATTTGAAAATTAAATTTATATTTAAATTTTAACTTATTATATGAATGATATTTATTCAAAGATTTTTTGGATATATTTCATGTATTGTATATCCGTAAAATAAAAATATAAAAAAGTAGTTCTACAGTGCCATTAATAAACAAGGTTTATCATCAGATTAAATTTACGCTAAAATTGCAATTTTAGTATTAGCAAATTCATATTATACAGAGAATAAGCAAACGTACTACGTTCTAGAAGTAAATAATAATACTGTAGTACCTCTTACTGGACCTTTGCAAGTCTCTGTTTAATAATATGAATTTTGACTAATACTAATTGCAGTGATATATAGAAATGATAATGATAATACGTGTAATATAGTAAGGTGGGCGCTAATGGTTGCACTTCAGTTTTCCTTTTTAAACTACCGCGACTATTATCGTACACTATAGTTTTGTTAAACTTTTTTGTTCCAATAAATACATTATTATTATTATTAATAAAACTGCTAATGTTTTACGTAATAATCACATCCCAATAGAATCTAAACTGATACCTCCCGCATTTTACCATTGTAATATCTACTTGAAGTTCAATATTGTTAATGAGAAAGGCATTGCACTAATAATGTTAGACTTTAGGTAGATAGTACAGTGGTAAAATGCAAGGTGTTGATATTCTATCAAGATGGATTGGCCTACTGTTCAAACAACAGCGGTGTCTCACTCGCTGCACGGATGAAACATTGCTTTAAGAGCTCATGGTTAGGTAGACGCCAGGGTCTCTCTCTAGCAGGCCTCGAACAATACACCGATTAATATAAGTTGACATAAACAATAAAATAATTTCGATATCAAAAATAATATTTACCACGTAAAAGTTCTCAAACGTTAATATGCCCAATAGACAAGGCGCTAAAGATCTGCAGGTCGGAGTTACACAACTCCTAAGACCTTAACTAATAATAACCCATTAATATAAATATTGAAATTGAAAGCATTTATTTGATTTTTAACAAGACCTTTATAAATTATTCTAAATTAGAAATATAAAAAATAGACTATACATATCTTTAGGTGGAATTTGCGAATCTCATTAGCATAGCAAAAAATTTGTTTCTCATCAGTCTCACATTTAATTATGAAATAAAGTTATAATAAGTTTATATTATACAAGTTTACCTTTACTTGAAACACGATGGCTTTCCATTAAAATATCACATTCATTTATATTAATAATGTTGTTACATTATCTTTTTGGACGTAGCTATGCCTTAGGACACGGTGTCAGCTCAATAACCTCCTGGTCCAATATTTGCTGATCATCCATTACCATTTTTGCACACAAGCAACCTTCACTTATAGTTCCATTACCACTAACTATACATTTCCCTAAAATATCCTTGCAACTGTTAAAAGGAATATTTTCGGAGGCACTTACATTTATTATACTGTCACTCGAACTTGACGGTAATGTATGTTGTACATCCATATCAGATGTTTGTTTTAATTTAATGGTTCCATCTGATTTATAATCAATTATTTCATTGATTTGATTTATGGTGCCCACAACATCACTTTCATCTTTGTTTTTAAATACCAGATGATCTGAACATTCACATCCATCACAACTGGTTACTTTAACTGCTTTTAAATCACCGTTTTTAGGTTCTGAATTCACAGAATTGCACGATTTATTAGCTATGAATTCGTAAGTATCCTCTATGGATATTGCGTTCGATTGCATCTGAACACATAAACATTTATGATGGCTATTCCCATCTTCCACGATGCAGCCTCCAATACTTGACTTGCAATCGCCAACTGTTTCATCTTCATTTAACTCAAGGGAGTTTACTTTCTGTAAAATTGTTAATTCCTCATTTTCACTTTGACATAGATCCTTAGGAACTTCAATATCGGAATACTCATTTTCATCTTTTAAGTACTGCACTTTCCAGTCCGTAGCATGATTATTGTCTGAAAATAATATTAGATGTTATAAGAAAAATATAAATAATATTCACGAGATTCCATAGGCAAAATTATTTGCACTTAGAATAGACAATTGCGTTTTATATTGAAGCCGCTCATGGCCGTACCCAGGCTTTGAGTCAAAGGAGAGTTGGATAAATCAGAAGCCGTCAACAAACAGCATCTGCTCTCTCTCTCTCTTTCTCTGCCAATACATCCATGAACCCGCTGTGGAATGTAAGACGTTGTAGGTATAAAGCGTTTTAGATGGATGAGGTATTTCCGGATACGAAGTTATTACGCAGTACCGTACAGAGCAATGGCGGATTTACAAAGTTGCCGCTAGTAGGCTATTCAAATCTTGACGCCCCTTACTGAGTACTTCGATATTGATTATTTGTTATGGAAGCTGTGCTTTGTTCTAGTTTAGTAAAAACGGTTGTTAGACAAAAAATCTTTTGGGCCACCCCCTAAAATCTGCCGCCCTAGGCTCGATCAATTTACCAACAGGCTGAGTAGGGTGGAGAGCCTACTCAACCTGTTGGTAAATCCGCTACTACCGAGGAGATCAAATATACTGAACAATACTAGGATATGCTTTGAACGAATCAGTCTGATCTGTCAATTTGACAAAACTACCAATCAACATGCTTACTCTCGAACGCAAACGCGACCGATCGACATTGCAATTCACTACCATACTCTGGCGCTAGTGTACTCAATCAAGAGTACGAAACGGCACAATTGCAATGTGTATCGGTCGCGATCTCGTTCGAAAGTAAGCATACTGGACTTGGACAGATCAATGCTGATTGATGTGACGACAGTCGAGCCCGCAGCCTGACACAATACAGAGCTTCATTTTGATAAATCAAACAGGACTCAGAGAAGCAAACGCCATGACATTTAACTCAATATCAATAGGGAACCCAATGTGGCAAAATATTAGTAGCATTTGGAATTCATAGATGAAATATAAAATAAAAGAATATACTTAACAACTATACTATTTTTAGGAATCACAATTTATATATTAAAGTTGTTTTCTAATTAAAAGTTGTGAGATGACTGTAATGTGTTACAATGTCTATGATATTATTAATAGGTAAATACCAACATTTTACAAAAACACAATTTTTATATAGACAACCTTTTTGGGTATTGTAGAGCACAATAGAAATTTAGACAGTGTACCTTTGAAAGGTTTTGAAGTAGTATGCAACGACAGTCTTACCAAATTTTACAAACTCAGCATCAGGCAGGAACCCATCACCATTGTTTGGAAATAAATCTGTAAAAATCCATACCATTTATTATTAATTTATATTAATATAAATTATTTAGAAGGTAATATTTTTTTATTATAAATGTCTCACCATATTTATTAATGGGGAGACCGGTTACAGTAATAGCAGTACTAATATCAATGTTTCCCAAAAAATCATTGTTGTCGTTTTCTGAAAAACAAAAATCATCACTTCATTAACTATAGTCGATATTTGGTGATAGTGACTACTTAGGTTTTATCAATAATGTGACATGCAATATCTTTGAAAGCTATTGCCAGATGTCAAAGAAATACTAGCTGCAATCATTCAACATTTTTAGCTAAGTTTTAATTTATTTCTTGATCATTCATATCATCTTGCTATTGCAACTTTAAACATTTACATATTTCCATAAATCGCTATCGCAATTGAATAACCTTTATAACATAATTAGTCCATAGATCTACCTACCAATTCCAGTAAAAATTTATAATGAGTGTTTTCACAGTTTCTGCAAGGTATAAAATATAGTACCCCAAAAAGGGGGAACAAATTCGGATAGGTTTACATATAATTACAATAGATTGATCCTCACACATCACAGCCTGGCATATTATGAATTTGATAGAATGATCACAAATTCAATTATGATAGCATAATATTTGAATCATTCTAATTGACCACGATTTCATATGAAATTAAAACTTAGTGTATAATAATATTTATACTTACTGTGAGTTCCAACATGTTTTTTCAAAGCATAAGCTGTTGCAAAACTTTTCTTACAACCAGGAAACAGACATTTAAACTGACAATCTGACTTATGAATATTTATATGGCTCTTAAGGTGATGATACTGAATGAAACCTGGAATATTGAAGATTTCATTAAAGATATCATCTACTTATTAAAATCTTGTGACTTTGCCTGCGTAAGTAATAGCCTATATTACATGCATATGATATAGCTTCCCGTAGGTGAAGGAATTTTTAAAATTGGTTCAGTGGTGTCAGAGCTATTAAGTTTTTAAGTAGTTTTCTATTAAGTGCAAAAAAAAACAAACAAATCCTTTATGTTAACATTAGTATAGACAGTGTATTGAAAAACAAACTGAAATGCATTATTTATTTGATTCTGATTTAAAATGATTAAATAAAACTGAAAAAAAAAAAAAATCTAAAATTATTAAAAAGCACAAAGGCATTTAACTGATTCAAAAACTTCATTTTTTTAAGAATTTATTGAACACACACACAATTACATAGTTAATAATTAGACTAACTGTAGCCTTACCTTTTCCACATTCATTACAAAAATATTGTTTGGTGTTTGTATGGGTCAGCTCATGATGTTTCAAATGGTGGGCAAAATTAAATGTCTTAGAACAGCCTGTAAAACTGCATCGGTACTTTCTCTCTGACTCTGGCTTGTGAATTTTCATATGAGAATGTAAAGCTAAATCACTATTAAAGATTGCACTACATTTATTGCAGACAAATGTACCTGAAACAGAAACAATATATCAAATATTTATTTTCATAATGAGTTGTCATCTCCGCTTCTTTTCATAATAAGTTGTCATCTCCACTATTCTAAATAAAATAAATATACCCTATTAGTATGAAAATAGAACTGGTGTTCAGTGATTATTATTATTAATATTAATTTAGATATTTATTTTTTGGATATACCTCTAAATAAAAAATCCTGTGCTATGACCAGCTCAACTATGATTTTTTTTCTAAACAGAAAACTTTACTCTCACTATTTTTAGAAGGACATTCTTGGGTAGCATTCCAACGTGTATGAGACTCTTAACTCATCCATTAACATTTTTTTTTTATATTTATCATACATACCTTTATGGGCATATTTGATATGTCTCTTCAATAATGACTCATCTCTAAATTTGCGATTGCAGTGGTCGCAAGAAACACTGCCAGTCCTTTCATGTTGTTTCTCATGTCTTTTAAGTGCTGACCTATATTAAAATAAATACTGATATAATAAACATTTGAAACACTTAAATGTATTCTTAGAACCACTTATACTAGCTCATTTAGTTTCTTAAACAATATACTCACATAAAACTAAACTTCTTATTGCAAATTTTACATATGAACTGTGGAGTGTGACTTTGCTCATGTCTCTTCCTCTCACTTTCATACTTAAACTCCTTACCACAACATTGACAATTCAAGTCGTTTTTAATTTCGAATTGCTTTGATGAAAATGACTCGTTCCTTTTTCTCATTTTAAGTTTTACTCTATAACCAACTTCAATTGTTGGTTTAATCCAGTAAACAAAGATTTTTAATAACAATAATAATGATTTCAGTGGGTTATCAAAACGTCAACTGTTTTGCTCGTTAGCAGAAATGATGCATATAACATTTTTTTTCGTGATTGGTTTATTATTTAAACTGTGGTATAGTCATTTAGGTCATATTAGCTGGAAATTAAGACCACAATAAATTATTTTACATGACATAGTATAATTATTTATTCCACCGTAAGCACTCTAGGAGTCACAAACTTTATTACGATAGATAATTGAAACTAGCCACAAGAGTACTTATGGTAATTATCACAGGTAATTATTTACAGCATTGACAGGTGACTGACAGTGACAGCAACAGCTGATTTGCAGCTGATTGGTCTTATTTCTTTTTTTTGTGTTAATTGTCGCTTATGTTGGGACGGGCAAAGAATGTTAGGTCCATACAGCCCTGACCGGATATTCTCATTTCTTTTATTAAAGAGGCAAATAGGTACCATCATAGAATTAATAAGTACTGGGTACCATAATTTGTTTTTAATGACGCGTTCAAACTGAAGAGTGAACGAACGGCCAGCAACAACAGATTCGGCAATCGCTGTGCCGTCTGAAAAGTTTGTATGTACATATACAGCGTGTTTGGTAATACATGTATAATCCCGAAACATGGCCATAAAACTTAGCATAAAGAACATAATTAATATGTCAAAAAACAATTTCACGTAAATTGAGATTTTCATACAAATATTTGAACAATTTGTTTTCAATTAATATTCTACAACCCTGAAAGCTTATACGTGCCGTCCCGGCGTACTCACTCTCTCTCTCTCTCTCTCTCTCCTTCCCTCTCACACATCTACTCTCGTTTCCTAGAATACACTTTGATTTCGCCGACGCGCGCACTTGACTGCGTATGAGTTTACTTGTTATTAAAACAATTTAAGATTAAACAGGTACATACCTAGAGGCAGCGTTCTAATCACTCTCTCAGCTCTCACTTGTCAACATTACCTACACTTCACCTCCACTTTATCAGTCCAAGGTCTCGATATGCCGGCCACCGCATAAAACACACATCTCCATTCGATTCGACACAGACCGTGTTACTCTCGACGTAAAATCATATCCTCTCTCGATGGAATAGGTGTTCGGCCGGCCTTCCTGTATCACACTATGGAATGAACCAGTTGTATGTAACCGATTCACAAGTGCCGCGAAGCACTGTTAAGAAGGAAGACGTCGAGGGTTTTCAGATCTTCCTGACACGTGGCGCTCGTCATAAAGCCGCCGAGCCGCAGCAAGATTACCGTCACAAGCACCAACACACAATATCATCTCGTAATATTAGGCATTTGAGTACGAACTCATTGCACTGACCGCACACAAACACAACACACAGGTAAACAGAACGAGTATGAAAAACAAACCAAAAGTCCCGAAAGAACGAAAACGTAAGTTGACCTTCTAAATTCTGAAAACTCACAAGTACACCGATGAAAGTCTCCGACGCGACTGAAGCGATGACCAAAACTACATAGGTAATTATTACAACTCGAACACCAATGTAGGTACCTAAATCAAAAGTGCACCGATTTAGGGTTCCGCGTCATCAAATTCTGTGTTAGGTAACCTACCTAACAAAAAATCGTTATTTTATTATTTAATTAAACAATGAAATTTCAATGAAACTTATTATACTATTTTTTTACTGACGAAATTGATAATTAGGCTGTTTACTTATTATTACAATTTTATTTACGCTTTTCACGGTTACAAAAGAAAAAAAGGCCATAATATTAAAAGTGGTTACCTAATTTAAGACCAAGTCATTAACAAAATTATAAGGCATAAAAAATATTGATTAAATTAGAAAAGAAAAGAAATATTATTTATTATTAGACCTTTCCATTACAACTAACCTTTATTTAATTATCATTTAAACTAAGAATAAGCGAGATATTTAGATTATTAATATCATTGTATAAGTCCGTATTTTATTGTTTCGTGAAAATAACACTGCTTTATGAAAAAAATAACAAAACTTCAAAGCAATTAATCTACAGAACCTTACTGACACATCAGAAACCCGAGTTTCTCAATACACATCGTCGTCGATTTTATGTCTCTGTCGCTCCTTCTTGCATAGACTAATGCGAGCAATCGTAGCTGATATCTAACTTCAATCAAAGTATTTGCAATTTCTTTTTTATTTTGACTGTATTATTAGAGAAGTTTTCTTAATAATAGTTTTTGAAATACCGTTAATCACAAGATTGGTGTTCTTTTATGGTTAAAAGTCATTTACTACTAACTTTTTCTTTGTTTTGAAATAATAAATTACTCTCGGATGCATATTTATTCTAGGCATTTATCTTTAGATTTATTTAACTTCTGTTATTTTTTAAACTAGTTCGGCACATGGAGTCGATGACCAAATACAACACAACAGCTGTTTTTAGGGTCGTCAGCGTACAGTTTTACTTCGAAGTAAAAAAGCTTAATATCTAGGTCATGTGCTGGGTTTCAGACTTAGTGATCATTTTTCTGGGTTCTATTCATCATACCGTATGTGCCATATTCGGGATTATACAGGTATTACCAAACACGCTGTATAAAAATTAAATTGGAGAGTCATTGTTTTGCTTCAAACTATATTTAAATTACATAAATGATTGATTGATACATGTACTTATTTTAAATCGAGTGTGATTAGTTCGCTCGCTAGTTTTTGAAGAGCGAGCAACCTTATTTGCTAAAATGGATGCAGCATTGAATTCTAGACCACTATATGTATCTCTTACCTTTAAATAACTTGTGTGATAATGATCTCTAACTGTAAATGCAGAGCCATTTTCTTATAGAGCAATCGCTCCTGTCATGTCGTATTTAATCATCAACCCAAACAAATTAGCAATTTTCTCCAAAAGATATCATATAACCAATAATATTTTATACATAAATATACTCTTACAGCTAAGTTCTATCAGCTTTAAAAATATCTGTAACTTATTTGTTAGCACTCTATATTACAGTGCGTGAGTCATATTCAGCGTACACAAAAGTGTTCTGTGAATTTAACATTGGAACTTATATAGAAGGCGAATGGGTCATGGTTCCTATAGGTATACATACATTATGTCGGTTGAGTTTTTGAGTCCAAAGAAATATAGGTGTTATAACAAAGTGAAAACGTTCAAAATAGCTTATAATGTTTAATATATAGAAAATGAATAATACGGAAAACTTAGGTAAGACTTGGGAGGAACTAAGATCTTTAGCTAAGATCCCTTTGCTTTTTTAAGGTACAAAAACGACTGCACGTCAGTTTACCAGGTTACCACAATAAGTCAAAAATCTGCAATGGATTTTGACCTCTTCTACTAATCGGATAACGTTTAAAATGAAGTGGGGTAATTTGACAGTTTTGTGTAGTCTGACGTTCAGTCGACTGTACTACTGTTTGTTTTCAAAACAGTATTTCATGATTATTTACAAAAGTTATTTTCATATTTTAAGAGATAATGAAGTAGACTGAGTATTTGATGTAATAGTCCTAAAGTAATGTATTATATTCTATTAGTTACATACTTTCTCACTAATAAATATTATCGAATAGATATAAATTTAATGTTTTTGCAGGTTATATTTTATTTCCTAAAAGTTGACAACCTTGAAATATCAATGAAATACTTATGTAAGTTTGGCGCTTGAGATAAAATAAAATGTTTGAAAATGTCGAACGATGTTGAGTCGAGAGCCTCTACGCAAGCATGTAGTGTGCAAACTTACATAAGGGTTAAGCAAAATGTCAATCTAGGCTGTTCAGTATTTATCCAGCGCACAAGCCTGAGAGATTGCAATTTGGTCTGCAGATAATTTTTTACTTATTTCATTATGCAAGCCTGGCTTAAGGTAACGTTAGTTTTGTGCCTGTTTGGTACTTTACGAGAGATACGACCTTCCGAGCCTTTTGTTACGGAGTTTCTTCTAGGAGAATGGAGAAACATAACGGAGGAACAGTTAAATCGTGATATTTATCCAGTGGGAACATATTCTTATTTATCGCAACTGGTTGTCGTATTTTTGATCACAGACTTTTTAAGATTTAAGCCAGTAATAATATTATCAGGTAAGTCTTTTAAAAATTAACAGATCATAAAAATATTATTCTTATAATCGTTTTAATTTAAAACATAACTAACCATCTCATATCAATTACTATCAATCAATTTTAAATTGCTTACATGCAAGTTCAAGGTTATAGTGACATTCATTATAGTGACATCCACATTTCAGTGTGTATTTGAGAAAGTTTTATTAAATAACTTTATTAATATCTTAATAAAACTTATAATATTTGTTGTTAACTCAACCAATAAAAAAAATGTTTGAGGCATTTTTAAGTTCATTTATAGTTTGATCATTTAGTATAAAAATGTGCTAACAAATAGGCAAGCATAGTTTTACAACTGATAGAACTCCACTCTCAGAGTATATGATACATATTGTAAGTTTTATGGAGAAAATGCAGAAACTAATTTTCTGTCTCATTTTGCCTACAATTAACTGCAATACTTGAAACAATTGACTTAATATTAACTCTGTTAATATTTATGAAAATATAAGAAATAACTAGTAAGTTTATTATATAATACTATGTCTACTTGGTGCCAAAGGACACACCTTAAGTTTATCTAATTTCGTCAATATTCATTTATTTTTAGGTCTTAGTGGAATATCAGTATATGCTGTCTTACTATGGACATCTAGTTTAGAATGGCTGCAAGTATCACAGTTCCTCTATGGAATGTACATGGCCACAGAAGTAGCATATCTAACATACATATATGCCAAGGTATTTAAGAATTTCTGTACTTCTGTTGTGGCTTACTCTTGAGTGTTTCTCATAAACAATACACCTTAAGCTTCCCTGGAAAAATTCTTAAATAAGTAATATACTTACAGGTCCATCTGCATCTACAAAATTATTTATAAGTATTAAAGATGTTAAAACTGTTTATTTATAATTGCTTTTTGCCTCAAGTAAACATTTTCTTTAAACATTTCATTGTGGTCCAAAGTCAATTGTCTTGATAAAGCATGATTTTAGACTAAAACCTCACAAAAATACCTTGGCCTTGGCCTTATGGCCTTCATCATCACCAGCCTATTAGTGACTTCACTGCTGGGGCTCAGGTATATCATATGGATGGAATCCACGGGGCCCAACGTGAATTGGTGGGTGTTAATGACTGCAGATACAACTGGGCTCAACGGCTTAACGTGCCTTCCTAAGCAAGAAGAAATTCAAGATAATAGATTTATGATCACCCATGCGAAGTTCGGCCATTGCGAAAGTTGCTTAACAACCATAAGTCAATATAAGTATCAATAACATCAGGTCGACTCATCGAAGTACCCTCGTGTGTCATCATACACTCGCATCGCTGCACTGACTGGCCGGTTCCTGTCGGGCGTGAGTGCACAGCTTCTCACTCACTTCAAGCTAATGAACTTCAGAGACTTGAACTACATTACGTTTTCAGGTACAATTTTAATAATATTGCAAACAGGACATATGTTCAGAAGAGCAGCTATATTTTAGATCTAAAGCATCTTTTTAATAAATATAAATGCTCAGGAGTTGGCGAACTCATAAGAGGACAGAACTAAAAACTACAATTTGCAAAATTTTACTCTTAAAAGAGCCAATGATAGATCATTACAATATTATTCATATTTAATTTGCAGATTTAAAAAAAAATAATTTAAAGTGTTTGCCAGGAAAATATTTTTATAGTACATACTACTTGGTAGCCATAGTTTTAGAGTTCTAATAGAAGAAGACCTTTTAAGGTATTGCTTCAGTGACTAAGTTATATTTATTTCATTTTAAATGAATAAAAAATGTTGATATTCAATCTAATAAATAACAAATTAATAAACATCTATTGAAGCTTAGTAGATATCCTACCTAGCTTATGCATCGTATGTATAATAAATATGGGGGTAGGCAGAAGACAGCTCCTAAGAAAATAAACATTTGTTATTAATAATCTGCAGATAATGGGTATGTTCCGATATGCACTGCGACCACTGAACAGTATGACGTCAATTTAGTATACTGGAAGCCCGTTCCTTTATAGCTAGTTATACTGATGACTTTTTAAAACGGAACGCAGTCCAGTATACTGTTAATCCTATTTTTTGGCGCCATTTTCAAATTTGTTAATGCAAGGTGAATATAAATATAAAGATTCCCTCTTTTCAAAAGAAAATATTTCAAAATTGGAAAATTGTATAAAAAAATATTTATCCATCTTATAATAAACGTAAGTATTTTTTTTTGTTTATTTAGAAACATATCATGTTTCGACTGATCACGTGATCAAAAGCACTGCGAGCACCTTACCTCGAAATCTCCAGTGCTCACAGTACAAATATGGCGGCAATTTATGACGTCATGAATTTCCCTAGGGTACTGTAGCAGTGTACTGGCAGTCCATAACGGAACGGATTTTACAGCAGTAAGACCACTGCGCAGTGCTCGCAGTGTATATCGGAACATATCTGTCTAGAGCAATATTAGCTTTTCTCAGTCCACAGGAAATCAATGGCAAATTGAAGGACTTAACAAAACAACAACACTAAATAGAAAAAAAAAGATGTCCATAAAAATATGCAACAGCTGTCTTGTTTTTTTCTTTCAACTATATTGCATTAGTTTTAGATTACATTCTCAGGTATTGATTATATTTGGGTTGATGTCACTGACACACGCTCGCCGTCATAAAAGAAGCACAGCAAATACGAGTTTATTATTATTGTTTGCTAGTCAAAAAATAAGACTGCAGACCGCCACACACGAACGCGGACCACAGGTTTTGAAATTCTGGTCTTGAGTATATGTTCAATGTCGGCTTAAATTACGTTCATATAAAGCAACTTTATACTATAAAATGGAAACTAACATCTACATTTTGAAGAAAAATATTAGATTGTTACTGTTTTTCCAGCACAGATTTTGGCAACATTTTGGGCGGTTTGGCTGCCATCAGTACAGTATAGCATATATTTCCATAGAAGGAACTCCATAGAGAACTCTTTGCAGTCCAACATTAGGCCGCCGCTGGAAAAACGGCTTTCAGCTCAACCCAAACAAGACAAGGTTTGATCAAAATGTATCTTCATTTATTGTTTATAACAAACTTCAATGTTATTGTCGAATAGATTTAGCTCTGCAGCATATGCCGTAATGAAGATGGGTTGTTAGATGTTAACTGACATAGATACTGCCAGATTAGTATACTTCAGTTACTTTTATAGTATAATGTCGTACAGAATCTTATTGTGGGGAAATGCTGCCGACATACAAACGATTTATATGCCTCAGGAAAGAGCAATTTATAATATTAATAGCCAGTTGCACAAACGTACATTAAAATTTTCATTAGTTTAAAGCGACATTACCCATACAAATTTGATATTCATTAGAGCTTAAGGGCGTCATTAAACCTTAATGGACGTTTGTGCAACTGACCGTAAGATTAGGGACACTTTAAGGAAGAAATTTAAAGAAATAGACATAATGACTGTTGCTTCTCAATACATATAAAAATATAAATTTGTTTTCTATGAAAAGAGATGTACACAATTTTAATACAAGAAATAAATATAAATTAACGGTGCCTGTCACTAGACTGCAAAAATTTAATAACTCATTCAGGGGATTTACGTGCGCTTCTACAGTAAGGTCACAAGCAAAATACGACAATTAGATATCCTGCAGTTTAAATCTACTATTAAAAAAGCTTATTATAAGATATTCGATTATAATAATATCATATAAGAATGCTTGGACTTAAGATAGTCCAGCAACTGGATAGGTGAGTTCTTCTAAACTCGTATGTCTCAAAAATTGTCTTGTTGCTATTATTATTAAATTATTATGTTATCATAATAAGATCATAGTTTTTTTCTCTATTTATAATGTATTGATCTGGTTTTTGTGAAAGTCATTACTCCCATTAGAGCTGGTGAGTTTCTTGCTCGTTCTTCTTATCAGCCAAAAGACGTCCTGAACGAGTGGTAGGGAAAAAAATGTTGGAAGATTCAAAAGTACTTCTAAGAAGACTATTTGAATAAATATTAGTTTGACTTTGACTTTTGAATGCTTATTATGGTTTATGTATTTAAGGTTTGTATTTCTGCATCCTACAAATGCAGAGTAGCTATAAAGTCACTGCATGGAATAGTGAATGACCTAGAAAAACTTGGTCAAATTCGATCACACTCTGCCAACTTGTTCGTTTGCGAACTCAGTCGATATTATTACTGACAAAAGTTGGAAGAACAAGTTGGCAGAGTGTGACCGAGTTTGACAAAGTAAAAACTCGATTATTAATTTGTTACATGATTACTAAAAGAGCTAATAATGTAAGATGCACATAAAACTAATGACTAGGAACCTGACTGTATTCTAATATCCAGAGCTAGATTAAAGGACTACCTTAGTACCTTAAATCAGTTTTTTGGCGTCCTCATATTTCACAAAATTTTAGCTGTTATAGTAATATTGCATCAGTGTTCTATTTTTAATAGATGGTGATAGTAAATAAGTACTTAGGGGCGTTGCAAATCTGACGGAAGATTCTTCAGACGTCTCAGAAATATTTATTTAAGCTTTATTTGGCAAATAAAAATGTACAAATGGCGGACTTGGCGCCATGAGGCATTCTCTACCAGTCAACCCGAGACTTATAGCAGAGAGCTTTAAAAAAGGCCGTGCGACAGTGAAAAAGAAAAGCGAATACAATATGAAAAATAAAAAGCTACCAATGTCTACACATAAAATTACATACATAAATATGTCTTGGGTCCATCTTTGAATTGGGCCGATCGAGATTATGTCAATATGCCATTTGGCCAGGAAAGTCACATCGGCCCTGTTAAAAGTTTGTCGGATGACAGATGGCCAAATCAAGAAATGACGACATACCCTGATATGCCGGTCAGTTCCCGATCGGCCTGATTCAACGATTAGCTCACGACATATATAAATAAATAAATATATATGAAAAAAATATACGTTAGTACACAACGGATCATACGTTGAGTATGCAAGTTTAAATCTCATCCAACTTGTAATATTATAAAGCTGAAGAAAAGAAAGAACGCACTAATCAAAATAACTACTGGTTCAAATTGAAACATTGATTTTGTGTAGAAAAGTGCATTTATCGAGGAAGGTTATATGACATCACGCTATGACTAATGATAGTGGAGCACCAATGGGAAAAACGGAAAACCGACGCGAGCCAAGCCGCTGTCTGAGGGCGCTTGTGCACTACACTGAATTTTCAGGTCCGGCGGTCCGATTTTTTCCGGTCCGGAATGACATGAAAAACTCGGATGAGTAGCTTGTGCACTTGTCCGTTTTTTTCCTGATCGGAGCAGCGCAGTGTAGGGCAGCTCTCTTTGAAGCTACACGTCACTTACGCTAGGTACGATGAGATTTTTGGAACGTCGGTAATTCCGTTTGAAGACGTAGAAAGGTACCTAAATAATGATCTGATCGTTTTACATAAACCATAATAAATTATGGCAAGACGAAAGCATTTTTTTTACTACTATCAGATGTAAAAACTTATACCCTTACTAATTTAGGAACAGCATTATTCACATACCATAGCTAAAAATATTTGTGACATTAGAATAAAATTACTGATAATGGTCTAGTACTTGATTTTTAAATTTTTAAACGTGCTATTTTTTTCTAAGTTTTGTAACAATAACTTTCAGTGATTACAGAGACAGACCAATCGGTGGCGCCATTTCGTAAACAAATCGAAATTAGTGCCATGTTAGCGGAGAATTATTATGCTAAATGAACTTTACGAGATCAGTTGACTGTATTATATATAGGCATAATTTTATACGCGTGGTGTAGTTTCTTTGAGCAGAAATATTATTCCCTTAGAGTACTTCATTTTTTAAAATATATTAATGACACAAACATACATTTAAACTTTTATTAAATGCGAAAAAGACATTGAGTGTCACTTAATTATTTTGTTATTCTTCTGTTTATTCTTTATTATTACTTCTGTTGTCAAATATTTATCTATACTTATCAATTGTCTAAAAATAATTTGATAATGACAATTTTCCAGGCAAACTTTCATCCCCTATTTTTCGCGATAAAATGTAGCCTATGTCCTTTCTTAAGTTATTTACTATATAAGTAAAGTCTATTTACTATATTTATTTCCATTTAGATGGGTTCAGTTGTTTAGGCGTCTAAGCGTAACAACACTTATTTATCTTACCTTAAGCTATCGATATTTTTAATACGATTCTAAAATCTTGCTAAGTATCGATATTAGAACCATACTATGCTGATCGAATAAGCTGATCAAATTAGAACTATACCGAGTTTGCCAAAGCATATGCAGTGATATATACCAACTATATTAAATCATCATATAAAATATAGCATTTTATAATCAACATTAAATATCGATTATAAGTTTATTGGAAATTAACAATATTGCCGAAATAAATATCGATTCAAATCGATTATTTTTTCCCAAGCCTATTCCTTATGAATTTTCCGGATCTCAGACACAGCAGTGCACAAGCGTAAACACGTTTTTCACTGCCGCCATCACGGACCTGAAAAAACCGGTCCGGAATAGAGAAAAGTAAAATTCCGGACGGTAAAATTCCTGAGGGCGCTTGTGCACTACACTGAATTTTCAGGTCCGGCGGTCCGATTTTTTCCGGTCTGGAATGACATGAAAAACTCGGATGAGTAGCTTGTGCACTTATCCGTTTTTTTCCTGATCGGAGCGGCGCAGTGTAGGGCAGCTCTCTTTGAAGCTACACGTCACTTACGCTAGGTACGATGAGATTTTTGGAACGTCGGTAATTCCGTTCGAAGACGTAGAAAGGTGCCTAAATAATGATCTGATCGTTTTACATAAACCATAATAAATTATGGCAAGACGAAAGCATTTTTTTTACTACTAGTCGGATGACTACTATCAGATGTAAAAACTTATACCCTTACTAATTTAGGAACAGCATTATTCACATACAATAGCTAAAAATATCTGTGACATTAGAATAAAATTACTGATAATGGTCTAGTACTTGATGTTTAAATTTTTAAACGTGTTATTTTTTTTCGAAGTTTTGTAAATACAACTTTCAGCGATTACAGAGATATACCAATCGGTGGCGCCATTTCGTAAACAAATCGAAATTAGTGCCGTGTTAGCGGAGAATTATTATGCTAAATGAACTTTACGAGAGAGTCATAATTTTATACGCGTGGTGTAGTTACTTTAAGCAGAAATATAATCCCCTTAGAATACTTTTTTTTAATTTTATTTTATTAATGACACAAACATACATTTAAAATTTTATTAAATGCGAAAAAGACATCGAGTGTCACTTAATTACTTTTGTTAATCTTCTGTTTATTCTTTATTATTACTTCTGTTGTCAAATATTTATCTATACTTATCAATTGTCTAAAAAAAATTTGATAATGACAAATTTCCAGGCAAACTTTCATCCCCTATTTTTCGCGATAAAATGTAGCCTATGTTCTTTCTTAAAGTTAAGTCTATTTACTATATTAATTTCCATTTAGATGGGTTCAGTTATTTAGGCGTCTAACAGTAACAACACTTATTAATCTTACCTTAAGCTATCGATACTTTTAATACGATTCTAAAATCTAGCTAAGTATCGATACTAGAACCATACGCTGATCAAATTAGAACTATACCGAGTTTGCCAAAGCTTATGCAGTGATATATACCAACTATATTAAATCATCATATAAAATATAGCATTTTATAATCAACAATAAATATCGATTATAAGTTTATTGGAAATTAACAATATTGCCGAAATAAATATCGATTCAAATCGATTATTTTTTCCCAAGCCTATTCCTTATGAATTTTCCGGATCTCGGACACAGCAGTGCACAAGCGTAAACACGTTTTTCATTGCCGCCATCACGGACCTGAAAAAACCGGTCCGGAATAGAGAAAAGTAAAATTCCGGACGGTAAAATTCCTGACAGTGCACAAGCGCGCATTACGTACATATGGCCTGACATATCGGACCTGAAAAAATCGGACCGCCGGACATGAAAATTCAGTGTAGTGCACAAGCGCCCTGACAGTGCACAAGCGCGCATTACCTACATATGGCCTGACATATCGGACCTGAAAAAATCGGACCGCCGGACATGAAAATTCAGTGTAGTGCACAAGCGCCCTGACGTTCCGTGACCGGCAAGACGCGAAGTATCTTCCGTCAAATATCAACCCTGAGAGTTGGTTGCACCAACTTAGTTTAAGAATTAAAAACATCTAAATAATAATAAGTTACTATTTGACAACGGTTGGATGACGTCATTACCTTAACTGTGAACTATAACCGTCTAAGTTTCGCTGGTTAAACTATTGTTTTACTATGCAAAATAAAGAAACAGTCAATGCTAAAGTCAGCGTGGCAGATATCGTAAAGTTTGACACAAATCTTAACTTTAGCTGCAATTATGGTGCCATATAACTATGCAGTCATTCTGGGTGTTTTTCGCATGCTTTCCACTACACCTAGACTAACCAGGTGTTATTATTTTAGGATAATTCTCCAATAACATATAATAAATTATGTGAACCTATTGTTTCAGCAAACATTCCGAAGTAATGTAATAGAGGCATCGACGCTTATCACACGTCACGCGCGGCTCGCTTACACACGGCCTAAAGTGCTCGCGTGGTCAGCGCTGTACGCTATCGCTTTAGCGCTGTTCGTGCAAGCGCAGACTTATATCCAGCTCCTGTGGAAACAGATACAGGACGAAAGCGATAATCCCGTATGTATATTATTATATTTTAATTTTCAAATATAACTCTCAAATAATTATATTTGAATTTTCAAATATGATCTAACTTTCAATCAAATCGAAAAACAATAACATATTATTAAAAATCTTATTCTCCTAAATTTCAATTACAATTACAACAGGAGAATATTTTTTTAGGGTCGGTAAAATATCGCACGAAAGTATGCGTTAGTACGCTCAGCGGATTGACGGATCATCGGTTGAGTGTGTAAGGTTGAATTTCATATTATATATTTGACAATTCTGACGCTACGAGACCAATTATACGCGACGTATTTTCCGTCAGATATGCACCGACCCTAATACTATAACTAGGCTTGCCCACTATAGTAATCTGCATTTTGAAAAACGTTATAGAACTTATTGGTATCACAATAGAATTGGAATTTCATTGATAATGAAATCATAAGTAGACGACAATATTCGGTATGCAAGATAAACATCGAGATTCGAGACAAGACTATCTTTATTGCAATAAATTACTTTATTCCACTTTGCTTTATCATTGATAATGTAAAAGAAACTCGCACAGATTACGATTGTCCAGTCAATTAGAGAATGTTCAGTCTGCAATTTAATGAACACGCTAACGAAATTAGTACCTTCCTATGGTAATGCACAAGGCGTATATTATCATAATAATACACACTATTCTGAGCTCTCTGTTTTGATAATTTAAGCTTTATGGTTAATGAAATTCAAATACGTAATTTTGTCATTAAACTCTGTTATCTCTGTGATTGTCTATCCTTAGAGTATTAGATATCTGGCAGTGTCGGCATTTTATAATGTTTTTACTGCTGGGGCTCAGGCCTCTTCTATGGATCGAATCGAATAGAGGGAATGGGCCATGACCCACGTCACTAGCTCAGCGGATAGCTCGGTGTTAACGACGCATATACAGCCGCGACCAACGGCTTAACGTGCCTGTCCAAGCACGGAGGAGTTCGAGATAATAATTTTTGGTCACCCATCCTGCGACCGACCAATGCGAAAGTTGCTTAACAACCGTATCGTAAACCGAACGCGCTAACCAATACTCTATCGAGCTCCTTCCTCTACGTAATTATGATTCGAGTATTTTAGTTAAATCAGGCGACTAATTGTCTAATTTTCAAATCTGTCACTGTCCCTTTGAATTTGACATTTGAAAGATATTTGCGTGTTTTTGAATGATATTGAATGAACGAGATCGTTAATTTCACGTTAATTTGAATTCCTACGAGAAAGCGTTAGACGCAATTTTATTTACTTTAAATTTAAAACTAAGTTTTTTATTATGTTTCTTGATTACTCAAATCATCATTCAGTCCGAAAGCGAATATTATCCTATTAATTTTTTTGCAATCTCCATCGCTTTTGAAAGACAAAGACAGACGATATTTACTAATGAACAGCAAAAACGTCTTATCGAGATGTCTTTACACGTACTATTTTTCCGTTTTTCGATCTAATTTATGATACAATAAGAGTAAAGATGCAAATTAATGTTAATTAGTTCAATTAGAGTAATTTTCCTATATTGAACTTTATTCAGTAAACAAAAACCTGTCTAGAAGTGCCGATAAATATGTACAACCTGATTAATATTCAGACAGACCACAGATATAATACTATTTATTTCAAACTGGTTAGCATAATGCCAAATTTTATCTAATATAGATCACATTTATTTCGTCAAGATGATTCAGAACATTAACATTCTTATCAACATGCAAAGTAGTATAATTACAGAATCTTCTCATTAAATTTTCTAATTATATATTAATTTCAAACTTCATAATCCATTGCAAACGAGTATGATCCTTATATGATATGATAAACGAAATTTTAATTAAAACTAAATTTATTTATTTATATTATATTATTTATGAGTAGCTCGGTGGCGTAGTGGATAAACGCCGCGGGCCGCGATCGTTGTCGTTAAGCAACTTCCGCAAGGGTCGGTCACGGGATGGGTGACCAAAAAAATTATCATCTCGAGCTACTCCGTGCTTCGGAAGGCACGTTAAGCCGTCGGTCCCGGCTGCATTTGCAGTCGTACCGTTAATACCTTCCGCATTGGGTCAGTGTGGAGGGTCATGACCCATCCTCCTTAACCATCCATAAGGAAGGCCTGAGCCCCTGCAGTGGGGACGTAAAAGGGCTGATGATGATGATGATATTATTTATATTCATTAATTGATTATTATGTTATTTTACAACAATACTGGAATTAGCCGTCGGGGTTTTATAATTGGATCATACAATTATTCAGTAAAGTAAACGTCAACCACTTTGCTGCAAGTGCAACCAGTATTCATGTTTATTGTTTGAATGTGACGTCGTGGCGTAATATTTCACATATTTGACTGGTTTCGCGCGACAATTTAAACTGATCAATCTGATAGTGTTCAATGTGTTCTAAAGAAAGTTTTAAAATACTTTTTCCAAATAGTCAAGTTGCCAATACTATTTTATTTTATATATTTATAAATAATAATTAAAAAGTTATCTCTCATATATTACTTAATTTGAAATCTAAATATATATAACTCAAAGGTGACAGACTGACATAGTGATCTATCAACGCACAGCCCAAACCACTGGACGGATCGGGCTGAAATTTGGCATGCAGGTAGATGTTATGACGTAGGCATCCGCTAAGAAAGGATTTTGATCAATTCTACCCCCAAGGGGATATAATAGGGGACGAAAGTTTGTATGAAACTTCAATTTCAAACTCATCGGGCTGAGACTTTGCATGCATAAAGCTACTATGACTTAAGCATCCTCTAAGAAAGGATTTTGATAAATTCCATCACTAAGGGGATAAAATAGGGGAAGAAACTTTTTTCAGGTATTTATACGATATATCGTGTTAGAATTAATAAATATTCGTTAGAAATGCTTCTCAAAGTAACTTTACCAAACGAACGAAGTCGCGGGTGAAAGCTAGTCTATAAATAAAGTTCATGTTCATAATTTCCTGCTTAAACGCTAACCTTTGTTATGGCGTCGATGTGACGTCAGAGTCCCCTGAAGCTAACATAAACAACAAACATCGTTTTATGCACAGTTCTATGTATGTCAATATCAAAGTCAAATTTATGACATATTCCTTAGAACTGTGACGTCACGCACTGTTTGCAGTCACGTGACAATGAGTATAAAATAAGTCTCTTTTCTTGATTAATTTTATAAATAAAATAAACATTTGTAATTATCGATAATAGTTTATTAAATACTACCAGAAAAGAAAATATTTTCGTTTATTATATATACCCGTATTATTGAGCTAATATACGTGTATTATACTATTGTATGTAATACCGTAGGTGGCTTACAACGGCGCAGTTGAAGCCCTACAGACGTTGCTAGGTGCCGGTGGTGCTTTCATCGCTTCTTGGTTCACGCGGGCATCGAACCCTGCCCCAGTGGCTGCGATACAGGGCGTTGCTTTATTCCTGGGCACATATGTACCCAACGTGTACGTCTCCTACGCCGGCTATGTCGTCATGGGAATGCTGTTCCATTACACCATCACTTTGGCAAGGTGACTTTTGATATGAATAAATATTAGACAAAACATATACTCAAACCCCAAATCAGGTTGACAGAGCAACTGTCAGCAGATCAGTCCGGATAAGTCTTGGATTGGGCAGGCTTAGTAGGGATGACGACTGGGTAAAAAAAAAAGAAATTCTATTTAATCCATCAGTCAGATAGTTGAAAAATATTAGATACGTATTTTCTTTTTTTTTTGTTTTAATTTAACAAGAAATGGCTTAGATAATAGGCATTAAAGTTGAGGAGTGGGGGATCGCTACGTCACAGTTTATTAGCAAATAAACGTAAGCGTGACGTCATGCGACATTTCGAGTCGATGTATCGCCGTAATTTATTGATTACGCAAAAAATTAAATATTACGTGTTTAATATTTTTCAATATTCTACCTGACGGACAGACACACGAAAATTTGTCGTCATTCCTATTTTCATAGATCAATCGGTCCTTCAGTTACGCGATGTAGGCCGCTGATCCCCATATAGCCAGCTAAAGCCCTTGTATTATGGAACTCTGAAACAACGAAAGTATCATAACATCCAGACCCGAGATAATATTAAAGGAAAGTTAATGTTGTATGTACACGGTTGCAAGTCTGTGAGAATCTAAACATCAGGTACAGCATTGAGTAAAATTTTACAGACTTCCGAAAGTATAGTAATTACTTTAGGAGGAAGAATAGTAATTATATTCCAATTGTATACCTGGTCATGAAAAATGTATTAAAGAATTCCTTCTAAAATGTATGTATACAAAGCTCAAAATGTAAAAATTCTACAATCAATTTCAAACTTTAACTCAACGGATTAAGGTTAAAAATTTAAATGTTTTGACAGTTTTGTACAACCTGTGGCTTTGTTGACGTTAGACTTGATTCTGAATTCGTACATTTTGATACTTTCATAAATAATATTATAAGATATTTATCTATCGACATGTCTAAAAATATATTTTTTTAAAATCTTATGCTGTTATAAAAAGTTGATTTTAAACATTAATAAAAAAATATCGTTTCCAGTGCTAAAATTGCCGGTCAGCTGTCGGACGAGAGTTGCTTCGGTCTAATATTCGGCATCAACACACTGATAGGCACCGGGCTGCAGTCGTTACTTACCGTCATACTCATACAAACGTTGAAACTTCCAATCGCGTCGCAGTACTACTGCCTCAGCGGACTTTTCCTTATCCTCGCCGCCGGATGGCTGCTGGGCTGGATAATACATATGTGTAAACATAAACAACTTCATGTTGTCAATTAATTTATTAAGGAATAAATGGGGTAATTTTGTATAACTAGACGTAGCTGTTGACTTCATCACCCCGTAAAACTGCCGGTGGACTATAGAATCAAGGCCATTCACCAAACTTGGTGTTCTGACTGTTTCCGAAATAAAAACATTATCAAATTTTTTTTTATTGATTGTGTGTAAAGAAGAACATTCAATTCTGACCTGTCAACATCGAGATAAGCAATCATCGTGTATAATTTGCATTGGGCCAGCGTGGAGGGTTATGGGCCATCCTTCTTAACCATCCATAAGGATGGCCTGAGCCCCTGCAGTGGGGACGTAAAAGGACTGGTGATGATGATGATGATGATATCGCATTAAATAACTTTTTTGTTATTTATAACGAAGAACTAAACAAAAATATTATTAAAGAAAATAAAAATTAGCTACTAATATTTTACACCAGAAATTCATGTCTATTGGTCGCGCATTAGAAATGAAACTTTAAAAAACCGGTCCAATTCATGGTCTGATTAATAAGCAAAAGTAGCAAATGCTACGAGCCCTGCATATTTGGGAGCCTTAAAAATGTAAGAAACAAACAGCCTCGACTGAATAAATGGTTTTAATTTTATTTGAATCTCTCTTTTCACCCGCACAAAACAAAATGACGCTCGCTCCCGCCATGCCACGCACAATTTCAATTTTGCGCAGCTGTTTAATGTATGTACACAGGGCAATATGTCCGATTATTGTGGACTTTGCAAGTACCGACCGCTCTTCGTATCAAAGGACTTCCCTACTAACAAAGATCTGCTTACGGTGGTGACGTGCGGCCGTGTGTATAAGGAAGTTACAGACCAAAAAAACCTAATAGATACATGAAATAATTTGAAAAAACTTATTTGATCACATATAGCTCCTACAAATTAATATGATAACTGCGAGCATGTTCTAAAAGAATTGTCGTTGAAAACTTCATTAATATAATATCCGTGAAGATCTGCGTCAGAGGCAGTGTCAGGTCCTATCACAAATAACCTGGTCCTACCCCCATTGCATGTATGATACACGAATGATCCAAAAACATGTTTCTTTATAGTAATAATAGCGTTTCGAAAATAGTCGAAATTTTGTTTACGGAGAAACAATAGGCCTTCAAATATCATGTCAATTTGTACGAGTAGTAAGTATTCACACTTCAATGATTCACAATGTGTAGCACACGGGTGTTTGATATTTTGTCACATATTTGTGAGCAAGGAGTGTTCACTTCCCTTTACGCGTAACTGGCGCGGGCTCTATGGCAACAATTTTTATGTCCTTGGTGATCTTGCTATTAAGTTTTGACAAGGGCAACATTTGTGATATTCATATTTTTCGTTTGTTAATTTAAAATACGTTCCTTAGAACGACTTTATAAATAACCTTATTTATGAAGTCGTTCTACAATGAATTATAATGAAACACTTTAAATGGAATTGAATTTAAAAAAAATACGATTCCGGTATGTGCATAGTCAACAGCACGACTATACAAAACTGTTTTTCTCCAATTGATTTTAAATATTCATACTGAGAGTAGTGTAATAAAATCTTTTAGCGAATAATACGACATATTGTGGTAATCTAACGTGCTGCTGTGTGTGGTGTAAGTTCAGAGGAGAATCAACCATCCGCTATCCAGGATGAAGTAGAAAGTACTCTAGGCCTCTAGGGTAAAACTAGGTAATACCCCCCACATCTAAAATAGGTAATTTTTGGAAAAGGCTTCTAGTTAATATCATTTAAAGCAGTAGGAACTTTAATGCAATTCAATAAATGAGATTAAATTTTCGAAAGGTATTGTTAAAAACCACCTTCACTGAAATCTTTATAATGACTAAATATAGAATCTTTTCCTAAATTGAGGACTTGTCTTTCTCACATTTATGCTGTTCCAGACATTTTCTATACAAGTTACGTAACCATGAAAATTTTAAAACAAAACTAGTAATGTTTTTTTGGATATAATGCTTGTCTGCTATCAATGTTTAAATTTCTAATTTCATAACACTATGTACATATTGTTTAAATCAAAAATATTGACTGTTTTATGAGATATTAATAAAAGAATTTTAAACATCTTAAATAAATATATTTAATCTGTGTATATACATAAAATTTGATATGTAAACATTTATGGAATGTTTGTCAAAAGAAAATAGAAATAAATTATTTGCAGTTTGGAAATAAAGCTAATTTCAATTGTATTTCACAAATATTTAAGTCTCGCTATTTAATTGATTCACAACCACAGTATAATTCAGTTTTCATCCCATTTATAAATACATTTATACACTTTACAGGATTATATCTCTTAACTATATGTAATTTACAATTCAAGCGTACTGCATTGATGTCGGCCTAGTTTTAAAATAAACATAAATACAAATTAACAAGAAAATAACAGCAAAAGTTGGTATAACGATAGTGTTGATTTGCTGTCGCATTTTAGCAAATTCCTGTTTTCTTTCTCTTTTCTGTTTAGCAGTTTCTTTGACTGTTCCTTTTAGTTTCCTCATTATGTGCTGTAAACAAAAAAATATTCAGAAACGAAAATCGCCACGTATTTACAGTATTACAGATATAAAAATGCACAAAAATAATACCTGAAACGTTTATCCCACAAACAAACCTTGATGATATTCAGGTTAAATACGAAATTGCAAGGATTAAATAACAATTATTAAATTCCTACACATAAATTTAATTTATCACTGCAGAAAGGCGACGCTGCGAGGTAATGTTTTGATTTTTGACACTTCATCAGCTTGTGACAGTCTAATTCGTCGTATTCAAAGAGAAACACTAATATTTACCATGTAATTACGAACGGCGAACGTGTCTTGAACGTGTCTGTAACTTGTAACTAGGTATGTTGTAAATGTTGTAACGATATATATCGATATGTCGACGCCCATAAATATTGATATCGATATAAAAAAAACAACATATCGAAACCAAATATATGAAATCCTGAGAGTGAATGTATATCAGTTGTGTAAATGAATGTATAACATCTATCATCTTACCATGTGATATTAGATTAGTAACACATGTGCCATTATTTTGTAACCCTGATTTTTCTTAATTTTTTGCAGTTTTTTTTTATTATAATAATTTGTACATAACTTTAAACAATTTAATTTCAAATAAATGGTTATTCCCAATCTAAGGAGTATGTCTTCTTTAAAAGCATAACGCGTAAGTTGACAATTTCGAGGAATGCTTTGTCTATATCAAACGTCACGTTTCTCGAGTCAAGTCAAGAATTAGATTTCGTATAAAATGCTCTCGTGTTCGTCATGCTACGCTACAGAATCTATTATTTCAAGAAGCAGTGACCGCCACCAATTATTGACCGATTTTTTAAAATAAAATTTTAATTAAACTTACTTTCTTTAATAAGATTCTTGAATTTAATTAAGACCCAAAAAATATATAAATGAGTCCTATGTCAGATTATGAAGTGATATATCGATATCGACTATAACTGATATACATATTGACATTTTTATGACACTTGTATTTCTTTTTAACTTCTACATGTCAATGGTCTGTAAGGTGTTTTTTAAATGAGGAAGTATTTAAAAAAACATTAGTTCCCGAAATCAAACTAGATGTCACTAAAGTACGTTATTGATTTCTCCGTGACCTGTTTTTTTAGTGCTTTCTTATTTTTCTTAAATACTCCCTCATTACAAAGATGTGCATCTGCACTGAGTGATCCTTTTGCAATTTTCAACAAAACCAAAACATACATCAAAACTCATAACCGAAATCAAAAAATTTGTCACTCTTAAGCGATCGAAGATATTGCCCAATATGTGGATCACTCAATTCAGATATTAGAGAAAATGGCTACAAGCCGAATCTCAGGAAATACTTATACTGTGTTACAAAATTTTTTTATCAAAATATTGTACAGAATTTGTCACATTATTTTGCAAAAAATCAAGATACTTCAATGTAAATCCAGGATTCTACGATAGTTTCAATGGATCACTCAATCCTGACCCATTTAGATTGAGTGATTCTAGAAATACGGTAATATGCTTACAATATACATGATAATCACTCAGTCCAGATGCACATATTACAAAGATCTGTTTTTAGGAATATTGTCATTGATTTCAGTTTTTGGTATTAATTTTAGAAAGAAAACAATCTTTTTTTTTTCTTTCTAAAAAAATGTAGTTCTCAATTCGGGAATCGATCCTGAATGTTTGGAAAAGATATTATTATTATTATTATTTACTATTATTTCAATATATTTCTACATAGATACCGATTTTGTATATCTTAAGTAGTTAATGTTACTATGAAACATGATGTCCAAAATAAAGAAATTGCATTGTTTTTAATCACATAATATCTTTTATTTTAGTACATATAAAAAACAAATAATAATAATAGGTGTTCGAAATAACAACCATTTAATTTAAAATTTTCTCTATTGCTGCCAGTTTTATTTTAGACATCATGGTTCATAGTAACATTAACTGCCTTAGACCAATACGTAACCGGTATTTAAGTAGAAATAATGTACCTAAGTTTTATTTTGTAAAAAGTCCGGGTTCGAACTGAGAAGTGCAAATTACACGCTGACTCGACGGCACCTTCAATGGGCGTTAAGTCAGTCACCCATCAAATGAAACCATCAAAAACGTTGTAGACTCGATAGTCTCCGGGATCCAATTATACAAAACTATCTTTCTCCAGTTCATTTTACATCTTAATGTCTCGACGATAGAGATTAAAGTCAATTGCGGTAATTTGATATATTCTGGTACCCTAACGTGCAACCGTGTGTACTTTATCAGAGTACAACTATATGAACTATTAGCTCTATTTTTCGGAAACCCTTCCTTTAGGTGACCTACTAATAGGGATGACTGGGTAAAAAAATGCAATTCTATTTAGTCAGTCAGTCAGATAATAGAAAAATATTAGATACGTATTTTTTTTTTTTACTTCAATTTAACAAGAAATAGCTTAGATAACAGGCATTAAAGTTGAGGAGTGGGGGCTCGCTACGTCACAATTGAGTAGAAAACGTACTCTAACGTGACGTCATGCGAAATTTCAACTCAATGTAACGCCGTAATTTTATGATTACGAAAAAAATAAAAAAAATACGTATTTAATATTTTTTAACACTCTACCTGACGGACAAACAAACAAAAATGAGTCATCATCCCTATTAAAATAGTTAAATATGTTTTATTTATGTATTGTCCCAATATATATTTTATATATTACTTTCAATATTTAATTAATTTAATACAACTGAAGTAGGTAGATAATGTGATAAAACGTTTCAGGAGAAGACATAAAAGAATAATTGATTTTGTTAATTTGTACAGGTAGGTATTTAAGTATAATACTTACTTTTGTTAATAAATATCTACTTAACTTGTTTCTATTATTATCATAAAATGTTTTTTTTTGCGATTTGACCAAAACTATGTGAAGGGCCCTTGGAGGCAAAGCTGGATCCGCCCTAGTTGCATTAGCATAGTTGCCCTTATTCGTCCTTGTTCATCATCTCTATAAAGACCTAACTAATAAAAATAAAACACAAAAAATCATTAAATGCATACGTGTAATATGTAAAATGCAACAATGTAAAATCACAACTTTTATAATAATAATACAAGTATATTCATATTTGATTATTGCTGCCATTTAATAAAATGACATAGGTAATTGGTATAAACATTTAACAAAAATTATGTGTTAATTCCATTGAATTTCCTAGATGTTAATCTCATGTTAAAATAACACATTAAACTTATGTACAGTACTAGAGGATAAATAATGGGCATCAGAAAACTTCAGAAAGAATCATCTGATAATACAAAGAAAAACTAACAAAAAGTAATTTTATCTTTACTACATGGCTTTCAACTAATTTGCTTTTTTTGGACTGCAAAAAAAGCAAATTAGTTGAAAGCCATGTAGTGCACCATCAGTGTCACTAATTTGTCAGTTGCAGATATTATAGTATTAAAAGCAGGAAGGACATGTGCTATCTTTTATAAGAACTCTGCTGAGCTGATATAACCTTGCATCATGTTGTTTTGATGTATATAAACAATTAACTGTATAAGTAGTATATAAATTGTAGTAAGTACAAATATGAGTAGCCAATGCCCATATTTATTTTGAAGTATTGTACTCAATACTAGTGAATAATAAAAAACACGACGTTTCACACTCTTGTGTATGGTACTAGAGATTTTTCAAACTCAAATTCAATGAAAAAATAAAATAAGTTAACAATTAAACATGAAACTCTCCACCATCACGTTTCTCATCAGACAATGAAGCCAATATACTACTCGATGTGCTCTGTGAAAACCATAATAGGCCCATAAACAGCCCTTCCAGCATGCCAATACCGGCACCGGCCAATACATCCAAAATATAATGCCTCTCCATAAGTACTCTTGATATTGACACTGATATAACCCATGCAAACAGTGGAGGGTAAAATATAATAGACACTGGATCAATGCAAGTCAGAATAAAAGCTATCATGATAGCTCTACTCACATGCCCTGATGGGAATGAATATTTATCAGGACCCACTGCCAACAGTTTATTCATTGGCACTGGTCGACGTCTTCTCACCAATGCTTTGATTACAGCAATAACTATGATGTCCAAAATGAGAGCTAAAACGTAAATTAGAATTAAAATCCTGAGATAGGATATTAGATCATTTAATTATAGTAACAAAAAATACATCTTACCTATTAACATGTTAACTTGTATTTGATACAATTCCTTGTTATTAAACAACCAAATAAAACTAAGCCAGCCTACTAACCACACTATGCCATGACATGAGACCTTAAAAGAGCATTGATTTTATCAGTGTCATTAAAATGTTAACACATCTTAGTAAATTAATTAAATTAAATTACCTCAAGAAATTTGCCATGGTTACGTAAAGATCTGAAGGCGGTAGTCTTAATGGCCCTTTCAACAAATCTTTTGGTTATTTGAATATCATAATGTAAAATTTTTTGCATCATTTTTGGTACCTGCCGCTTTTCCTCAGTATAGCCTGGCTACAATTAAAGAAAAGTAAATGCATTATATTTAGTCTTAGTAATACCAAAAACAATAATATTATTTCTAGTGATGTACAACATCAGTTAAACAATAATAAGCTTAATTCAGTATTATTTACAGGATTTTGATGTTTTGTTCTAATATTTTTTGTAATGTGTTGTTTCACATACTATTTTACAAAAATGACTTGTTAAGTACATACAACTAAAATAACCATCAATTACTAAAAGAATGTACTAAACAATTTTTAACAGGTATTAATACTCAAATATTAATCATAATGATAAATCATAGCAATAGCAGTGATGAATCTTACCATATCCATATTGAAGATTTGGGGGTAATATACAGTAGAAAATGGATTAAGTGACAAGCTAAACAACTAAATTAGTTTAGTCAGCGTGGTGCGATTTCCAAACAATGTGTAAAGCAGCCAAACACTAAAAAATCAGTAGATTGTAGATATTTCAATAATTATTTGTCAAAAGTATGGACAAATTATTGTATAACAGTTTCTAACCATTACCTCTAAATTATAAAAGCGTGCAACAAAATATAGTACAGCACACAGCAGAAAGAGAAAGAGATAAGTAATGTAAAAATCTCTGAAATAGCAAAATTTTACTCCTCCAATTCCTCCTATCCTAACAAAACAAAAGTTGCTGTCTTCTTTAGCCCATATAGGTGACAAAATTCATAAACACCCAGCTAGGGATGCAACGATGTATAACTATTTCAAAAAGACCATAATGAGAAACTAAACTTGAAGGTCTATATACGCTCAGTACAATCAGGTGGGCCAGCTCTATGCAGGCAATCTCTATTATTTCCCTGATATATATACCTATGTATTTCCTCGTGATTTTAAAGTTGATTTATAAGGAAACTCCAATTCATGTAAAAGACTTGTAAATCTATTTTTGTCCTATAATCTCGCAAATTAGGACTGAGACGTATTATTTGGAATAAGTCTTTGAAATAAGTTCGAATCAGTGCGAATCGATTATTTAGAGTATCGTCGACTTACTCGTTACTCACACAAATCCCGAGACTCTGAGACGCTAACACAGACTCGAGCGTCCAACGCATTTCGAGTACTTAGAAATCTCGTACTCACACAAACTCGGCGACGCCGCGATGCGAAGACGCATACGCAGACTCAAGACGTCCAACGCGTTTCGAGTAGCGATGGGCGATTATTACTTAAAAAAATCGAATTTGTGACTCAATCAAAAATTGATTTTAGCAGGAAACGAATAGACCAAAGACAGTCATTTCCATTCCTTTTAACTAACATATTAAAAAACTGATTTTTAAAAAATTCGAAACTTAGATATCAATACAAATACGAAAAAGTACAAATAGAATATGAGTTGTTTATTAAGTTTTGAAAACTAATTTACTTTTAAACATGAAAGAAAACCGAAAGGGTTGTCATGGAAAATCAAGAACGTACCGTAGCGACATCTAGTTTGATTTCAGGAACGACTTTTTTTTAATACTTTCTCATTCATGATATTAAATCAAAGAAAATATAATTATCAGTGTTGTTATGGATCTGATAACTCGGATTAATATCAAGTCGAAATTCAATTAGTGTGAGTTACAGTAACTCACCTCGATTAATAAGAACTTATCTTTAAATAAATGTATTTTTTATTTGTATAAAAGAAAACGGAAACTAACATAATGGAAGTGAGTATTGAAATTAGATATGGTATTCAATATTATTACCGTGGAATAGTTTTTATAAGTAAAATACTATGAAGGTACATATTTTATTACATTTCTATTTTTGTTATTAAAATTATACAAGAAATTACAATTACATCAACAAAGTCAATGTCACTATGTCAATATTGTCAATGTCAAATCACTATGAACGACACTAACATGTTGTCTTTAAGCGTAAGAGGAATCGTGCACATGCAGCCTTATAAACAAAATATGTGAATAAAATGTCTCAATTTGTAGATACGGTGTGCTGTATGTACTTTTCTAATCTGTCTTTTTTTTTTTTTTTTGCTTGTTCGTAGCAATTAATTCTGTGGTGTTATAATGTAATTTATTTTATTTTAACTGTTATTTATACCCTTTGAGTTGGTTAGACCATACTAGGGCAACTCACAAATTATATCATTTAAATACCTAATAAGAAATGTTGCACTGGTACTGGTTGTTCATTAGCACCGTTATTCTTTTCTTTTCTTTTTTTTTTTCTTCTCAACTTTTGTTTTGTTTAGAACAGTATTTTGATCCTCTACATGCAACTGGCAGATGGAAGTTGTGGATTTAAATAAACCTATTATTTTTTATTTAAATATTGTGTATAGGTATAGTATATATTTCATATATATTGTTATTTAACTTTTATAAATATTTAATTAGGTATTTTATATATGGACGACAGTGATAATGCAGATAGTTTTTTATCAGTTTGCAGCAATGATAGCTTTTCTAGCTTACCATCACTTAATGATGTCATCATGTCGCACTTTTCTGATGTTCCAAATAACTTAAATGTTATTCATATCAATGCCCAAAGCATTCCAGCCCATTTCACAGATATGCTGACTAGTTTTGACTGTAAAGATATCCACGCCATTCTTGTTTCTGAATCCTGGCTAAAGCCATGTCTTCCTTCAGCTTCATACTCCTTACCGGGTTTCCAGTTGATCAGAAATGACCGCGCCTCTGGTGGTGGAGGTGGAGTTGCTATATACCTGAGATCACATATTCCATACAATGTACTTAACATGTCACCACAGCCGCCGCCACCTAACGCAGGTGAGCACTTGTTCCTAGAGGTGACACTGCGGCATACTAAAATCCTGCTTGGGGTATACTACAGCCCATCATGTCGCGTGGACTTTTTCTCTTCTTTTGAAAATATATTGCAATCTCTTACCCCTTCTTACAGTCAAACAATTATTATGGGTGACTTTAACACTTGCCTTCTCAAGAAAGACTTTCGCTCTTCAGCATTGTCCACTATCATCGAGTCTAGTAACCTTTTCATTCTACCTTTAAATGCTACTCACCATTTCCCTAACTGTACTCCTTCTCTTCTTGATCTTGTTTTTGTCTCTTCCTTAGAGCGTGTTGCTAAGTATGGTCAATGTTCAGCTGATGCCTTCTCTTATCACGACCTTATCTTTGTCTCTTATAAAGTTAAGCCTCCGAGGGAAAAAAGAAAAATTCTTCGTCAGCGCAATTTTAGTGGTATGGATATTAATAGTCTCCAACATGACGCTCATAACATTGATTGGACTCAATTATATGCATCTAACACAGTTGATAAAAAGCTTAACTATCTAGTTGCACAACTGACTCAGTTGTATGATGTGCATGCTCCGATACGCTCCGTAAAGATTAAACATCCTCCTTCACCGTGGCTTAGTGAAGATATTAAAGCATTAAGTCACCTTAAAGCTGTGGCCAAAACTAAATACAAACATAAGCCCACTAGCGCAAACTGGGAGAAATTCGTTGCAATTCGTAATCGCTGCAATAGAGTATGTAGGAAAGCACAACGCCACTACATCCACAGTTCCGTCGAAAACGGGGACCCAGCAAAAGTCTGGAAGTTTCTTAACTCTATAGGGATTGGGAAATCTCGACAAACGGCCATACCTGGTAGCATTGACATAAATTTATTAAATCAACATTTTTCCTCTTCGGCTCATTTTGACGAGAGTACGAAAGCAAATACCATTCAATCAATTTCATCTCTGCCCCGCCCTAATCATGATCCTTTCTTCATTAATCAATTCTCTGAATGTGATGTTAAAAAGAGCGTCTTGTCAATTACATCCAATGCAGTGGGCAATGACTGTGTCAGCCGAAAAATGGTAATGCCAATCCTCGATGAAATTCTTCCTGTGCTAACACATATATTTAACTTTTCCATATCTGTTAGTGAATTTCCGTCATCCTGGAAAGAAGCTCAAGTTACTCCACTTCCTAAGAAATCTAACCCTGTTTCCTTGTCAGATTTTCGTCCCATATCCATCCTCCCATTTCTATCTAAAGTCCTTGAGCGTCTTGTTCACAACCAACTTAGCGTATTCCTAGTTAAAAACAACCTCATGAATCCCTACCAATCCGGTTTCCGACCAGGTCACAGCACTACTACTGCCCTTATCAACATAACGGATGATATTAGGCTAGGAATGGAAACTGGAACCATCACGATCTTGTGTCTACTAGACTTTAGCAACGCGTTCAACACTGTTGATTTCGACGTTTTGCTTCAAAAATTACGCTCTATTAACATATCTCCATCAGCAGTTGATTGGTTTCGAAGTTACCTGTCTGGTCGCCGGCAGCGCGTCCGCGTTGAAGATTCTTTCTCTTGTTGGTGTGACTTAACTGCCGGGGTGCCGCAGGGTGGCGTTTTATCTCCTCTTCTTTTTGCTGTTTATATTAACACAATTTCCTGTCAGTTACTTTCTTCCTACCATCTTTATGCAGACGATTTGCAAATTTATACGAAAGTCCCCGCTGAGGATATAAGTTCTGCCATTGAAAGTCTTAATAAAGATTTAGCTCAGATTTCTGAATGGAGCCGCAAACATGGGCTTTGGGTGAATCCCACCAAAACTCAAGTTGTCATAGTGGGCAGCTCAAGGCTTAGAGCTAAAGTAAAGTTTGAGCAGACCCCGCAAATAGTTTTTGATGGAATCTCCTTACAATTTAGTGATCATGTTAGAAATTTAGGTGTATATATTGATAAAAATTTAAATTGGGATGTGCAACTCAAAGAAGTGAGTCGCAAACTTTTTGCATCTGCTGGGTCTTTAAGAAGGCTTCGCGATTTCTTGCCTACTGCCACTAAAATTGCGCTCACACAATCTCTTCTGATGCCCATTCTCGATTACGCCGACGTCAGCTATCTAGACCTTACAGAAATGCAACTGAACAAGCTTGAGTGCCTTCAAAATTTTTGTATAAGATTTATATTTGGACTACGCAAATATGATCACGTTTCCGTATTTCGCGAGAAACTCAAGTGGTTGCCAATTCGATTTCGCCGGAATGCACATATTTTAAATATGTTATTTAGTATACTTTTTAATCCCACTACCCCTTCTTATCTCAAAGATCGTTTCAAATTCGTCAAAGAATCCCACCCCCGCTTCTTGAGATCATCAGAAAACCTGCGGCTGGAAATGCCAATGCATTCCACTAAGTACTATGATAAATCTTTTACCGTCCATGCTGTACGACTATGGAATGCGCTACCTTTGTCGATTAGAAAAGCTAATTCTCTTAATATATTTAGGAAACTTGTCAGAGAGCACTACCTGTCCATGAAAGTATGTATATAGGTATTATATATTTATATATGTATTGTATTTTATATGATAATAGATATTATATTATAGTATATGTAAGTCTATTATAAAATTGAATTATAATAAGTAAATAACAACTGTCAATTATGCATATTTACAAATTGTTTATATGTACACCATCCACTACCCCATCATTAGATCTTTTATATTTAACTCCATCCCAAGGTTGCCTGGAAGAGATCACTTTTAGTGATAAGGCCGCCAATTGTACGTCTCCTGTTTTCGTCATATAAATGTATTTTTGTCTTTGTGTGTACAATAAAGAATATTCTATCTATCTATCTATCTATCTAGATCTAGGAATTTTTCATTATAATATTTAACCAAAGTTCTGAAAAAAACAATGAAAACTAGTTAGTTGGTTTTGTTGCTATTGGTTGTTTGTTAAACTTATAGAAACTAAACTACATCAAGTCTCAATAATATTTTTATATTATGTGTGGTGAATGAATGAATAGGGTTTATTAATATGCAACAAAGGTCATAAAAACGATAATTATAATAAAAAATCCGTTTAATATTTATATACTTACCCGATATGTATCAAATATACTTGGTATTCGTACAAAATAACGACTTCTGGCGAGAATGAGGTTTGTGCAAAGTATATCATGCAAATAACTTGTGTCAGGCTCATCAACGGGTGCCAGTGGAGCTGAGTCTGCACTGGACTACTTAATTTTGTCCAATTTTTTTTTTAAGAATTTTGTATATTGATTTGTCAATGAGTATGTAGGATATCTGATATTATAATGGAAAGTGACTTTATAGTCTGATCAAGTCATATTCTAATAAGACTTCTCATCATCATCATCATCATCATCAACCGGAAGACTTCTCAGTGTGAAATAAAACAGGGAGAAAAAAGCAGCCCTTGCTGAGTTTCTTGCCGGTACGTACAAGTACGAACCGTTGGCAAAGTTTTCGACTTTCACAAGTGCTATGTAACAGCCTATACTGAATTGATTTTGACATTTATATTAATATAATTCGACATGTGGATGCATAATAGCACATATGGAAATATGGCACATTAAAAAAACAAGCTAATTTCAGCACTCCGCTTTTTGTTCTTGGTTCCAATCCTAAATTCGGATGAATCGAGTCAATTGAAGTTACGAGCAACCAATAAGTTGGCTCATCATTAATGTTGACATATAATTCAAACATCGTTCCTTTACACGTAACATAATAAATAACTTAAATTTACGATTCAAATAAAATAAAATAAATTTGAAAGTAAGATATTATAAGAAACGCGAAACGATGTCATATTTATTAATTTTCGATACTCAAATTACTTTTGTTACGTCAGAAACAAAATTATATAATATTATAGACAATATCCGAATATCGCTAGTGAAATCTAGTTTGATTGAAGAACTTATTTTTTATTTTAAAATACTTCCATTGAGTTTGAATACAATATGATAGATTTTAATTATTATTAAAACAAACAACTCATAAAGTTATATCCCTGTAATCAGAATAGTGTGGCATATTTGTTATTTTTTCGAACCACATCGAGAATAAGGGTATTTGGAGAAGAAGGTTGTGGCCATCTTGGATATGTGTGATGCCAAGTAGTATTCGTTATTTCTGGATCATGCTGCCACCAGCCATACTTGAATGAGATAAAAATTTAATTAATTAAACATATATATAAAAGTGCTGTCCTTTTTTTTTGAATTTACGGATTTTATTTAAAGTAAATGTTACTTTATTCAACAAATTTTAAATCGGACACTGAATGCAAACCTCTATAGATGATGTAGGCGACAATCTATAGATATCAGAAGGGCCTGTGGGCTTAATCACTCCCTTTCGCTTCATTTTAACAAATCTTTGAAACGATCCGTAAGAGAATCCATTTACTCTTCCAATATAACAGTCTATTAATCTGATTATATTTTCGTCTGGCCTTTGAATCTGCAAAAAATTAACGTTAGTTTATCATAATAATGTTAAATAAACTTAGTGCTAAAGTATTCACAATATAAGAGGTCGCTTTTGGCACTTTAAAAACAAGATAGAATGTAACGTTGTACGTAAACGACGTTATGACAAATAAATGATAATGAAGCGAATTAGGAAGTTTTATGATGTTGATATTACTTTATTCAACAAAAATAAATAAAAATATAGTTCAAAACTAAAATAAATCAGAAAACAAATAAAATCAGTTAATAAATTACCAAGTTATAGAATATTTAATACAACTTTTTTAGTATATCAGGCAAGAGCTCTATGCCTGATATCCGGTTTCATCAAAGCTCAGTGCGTCTAGCGCTACTCTCCCTGGATATCCACAAGTCGAGTGGGCCCGATGGTATCCCCCCCCCCTTTTGTGCTAAGGACGTGCTCTCCAGAGTTGGCACCGGTCTTAACGCGCCTATTCCGGCTCTCTTACTCATCTGGCGTCGTCCCAATCCTCATGGAAGACTGCTTTAGTGCATCCGATCCCAAAGAACCGGTCGAACACGTCCAACTACAGGCTGATCGTTATTACCTCTTTGTTTCAAAGATAAGGGAGTCCATTATCAACCGCCAGCTCCCGGTACCTAGAGGATCACCAGTTGCTTAGTGACCAATAATACGGATTTCGTAGTGGTCGCTCTGCTGGCAATCTTCTAGTTTACTTGACACATAACTGGGCTAAGGCAATTAAAACAAAAGAGAAGGTCGGCGATCCACTGGCCCTACGTAAAGATGTTGCTCCACTATACATCTTCTATCGCATCTATTACGGGGAATGCTTCGAGGAATTGTTCGGACTCATATCTGCCGCTACCTTCCACCATCGTTCCACGTGACAAGAACGCGCCACGCCCATCATTTGGATGGTTGGAAGTCCTCAATTGTGCGTTTTTATAGAAGTTTCCTGCCTCGCACAGTCAAACTCTGGAACACTTTGTCGCCAGCGGTATTTCCGGACCAATACGACCTTCAAACTTTCAAGCAAAGAGCATATTTGAAGATTTTAGTGCCCTCCATCGAGTAATAAACAAAACGCGACTATAAGATGCAGGCGAGGCTCAAAAATGAACTTAAAACAAGCTACCGAGCCGCATCCTCATGGCCATGTTCGGTACCGTGACGTCACACGCTGAGGTATCGCGTGAAGCCAAATTATTTTAGCGAGCGTAAGTTCAAAGTCCTATAACTAGTTATTTATGTAGATTTAAGATTTTTTTACAGTATTTTATTAAGCTAATTCTTACATTTTAAATATAAAAAAAAAGTAAACTTGTCAATTGGTAAAAAAATAGCATAGTTTTTAATTAAACGCGATGTTTAGTAGTACAAAACATTATTTAAGTATTATTATTAAGTAAATTCTAAAAAAAACAAACTTATATTTACTACGTAACGTACCAAAAAAAGTTACGTACCAGATTTTTTTAAATTAAAAAGAGTGTCGTCTCCAAATTAATCGTGTATTTTCTCATACATAATTCGTTTTAAGTTCAAATCGGATACATTACACAATTAATATTAATGCTTTTAATATGTTTTGTGTATGAAAATTAGGCATTATTATACCTGTCACGTCATACCAAATTAATTTCAAGTTATTTGCCCTACACTGCTAAAATGCTTATTCAAATATTGATAAAATGTAAAAATATATATAATAAAATATATATATGTAATATATATATATATAGATAATCAATAAAATGTTTTAATTAATCTACGAATGGAAAAAGATAATATTAAATAAGTCACTGTTTGCCCTATATCAACAGGTAAATTGTTATTATTGATTAAATACAATAAGACAGTGTAATGAATGATCAAGGTTTTACCTAAAACTCGATGATATTAAAATAAATATTCTACAGTTTTGATTCTACTATAAAAATCAACACGGTCATACATAAGTTTGAGCTGAAAACGAAGAAATGTTCCAAAATAGTATTTTTTAATGTTTTGCATATTTTTATGTTTATTTACAGGACAGCACTGGAAATCATGTTAGTTTCAGATGAAATTGCATAACTTGTATGCAGTATTTCAACTGTCAAAAAGTTTTACATTTGACTATGTTTCCTTTTGAACTGAATGAATATGACTGTTCATGGGCATACCCACAACCCAGCATTTACTTAGGGCCTAAAGTTATCAATAAAGGCAAATACTATAATATTTTCAAGTATTTGCTTCAATGGATATAGATTTGTATTGAATAGTTTCGAATAATCTTGTAATTGGAGTTAATAACATTAAAAAAAGCGATTTCCATTAAACAAAAAAAAACATGCACGCACGACTCACATCCAAATCGATATCTCATTTTATAAAAAATATAATCAAAAATTCATCGGTAATCTGTTTCGAATTATAAGTTTCGAAATATATCGAATTTGTTTGTTAGTGTTTGTTACTATTTACCGTCCGATGACATCTGTCCAAAAGGGACGTCATATTTTGTAAAGTCTATGAGGATGTTTTAACCAGTATTCGAGCGATATATTTACATAGATTGTGCAATCAAATCAAGCTCGGCACACCTCTAGTGAACGTTAAAAGATACGCAAATAGCATACCTCTAAAAACGCCACTTTTGAACTTAAGATTGATAGGCATCTGGGTGTTTCTTCGGAAATTGAAGTTCCGCTTTGATACATTCGGCATTATTGATCTTCAAAAATAATGAATCTTGACTGATATTTTTTTAATTTTAAAATCTTTAAAGAATCCAATACCAAAGCAGCGAGTGTCACCAATGTTAAAAAATATAAGTATGTATATCTTATTCAATTATTTTAAAAGAACAATAATTACGGATGTATCAAAGCGGAACTTCGATTTCCGAAGAAATACCCATTTACGATTACGTGCAAAGTATCAGAGATCACTATAATCTAGTCAGCAAAGTATGAACTACAGATCATATCAGAAGGTAAAACTTTGGCTTATGCATAAAAAAACTATCGTAGTAGTGACACTGGTATCTAGTTGTTTCATTTATTGTGAGAATGAAACAGAATAATATAATATAACAATATCTAAAATATTTTAAATGTAATGATATTTTTTTCATTTGCAATAGAAATATTTAACGACGGTTACGGCGTTGACGAAATGCACCATTATTGTATTTTAAAGTGTATCAGATCCGATTTAGACCTAAACCTATCTGACATAAAAACAACATAACGACTATAACATTTTTTTTTTCAATTACCGATTTACCTCTCTGAAACAACTGGGTAGCTTAAAAAACGATATTGCATCATTTAATGTCGAAATAGCCGTCCACCGAATAGTTGTAACAATACTTCATGTGTTTCATTTCGTTATAAACTTCACAAACGCATTTCTAATGCCGACGGCACTCGCGCTCGCACTAGTTCGAAACAGTTAAAGTCATTGTCGATCAGTTGCACAAACTTTAATGGACGTTTGTGCAACTGGCTGTGTGTCCGTTAGCGTTATGTATGCGTTGCTTGAACGCACTTTGTATGTAGATTGTCTTCTGTTATATATGTCGCAGCTAAGTGGTGTAATCAGCCGACAATTGGGCGGTTAGCCCTTTATTGATTGGTGCCATTCAATTAACGGGCTAACTTTAAATCAACGGAGTAGGGAACACAACGTTCTACAACTAGGGCTGAGAAAATTATAGAAATAATCGATTAAAAATTGATTTATAAATCTCCGATTTTACTCCTGATTTTATTTTTCATCTGCAATCCCCCATCATTAACTTTGGTGTTATGGCCTGGAGCCCGGAACGCGAATCGTCAAAGAATACTATCTCCATAATATTACATTAACGCCATCTGTGCATTTATGATGGCATCGCTTCTATGTTATTGAAACAGTTTAGTTGATTCATTTAAGTCACTTAGATAGAGTCAACGAACTCAATTGTTTAGCGACATTTGGTTGATATTTATGTCATTCATTATTCGTTGGTGGAACTTCAATTTTCAAACAACAATACGGGTGTAGACAGTTAACGAAAATTAAGACATTTTTTTGTGGCAGTGTTAAATATACTATTACTGATAAACACACTTTTATGCATATTATATTTATAATATTGCTTGAATTAATTATTTAAAAACAAATATTTATACTCATTGTCACCTGACCGCAAACATCGCGTGACGTAATCTTGATTGAACCTTATGCTTAATAAAACGATATTAGTTTCAGAGGGCCGTGACGTCACAGTGACGCCATGACAAAAAATAATTTTAGAAGCTAAATTTATTTTAGGATTTTGATTTTATTACACGAATAATACTTAAATGTTTTTTAAAATCGAATATTTCCTTAAGATAAAATAAAAATAAAATCGATAATTTACTAATCGATGATACATGCTACAACAAAACAGATTATTTAAAAATCATTTTTTTTTGTAACATGCCATCCCCTACAGCCAACTAATTAACTGTCAATTCATCGGGAATATCTAAATTAATTGGCAGAATAAGAAGTAAAACAAATTTGATATTATAGTGGGTGATTTTGAATAAAACTAAAAAGCTCCTTGTTGCGATCTGTAACCGATATAAATGCAGGGCTAATCAAAAAAATAATAACAAATTGCTTATTATATAGTTGAGGGCAGGGCTCGGAAACGTTATTCAAAATAACGTTTTTAAAACGTTTCTTATGGTTCTTTGGGCAAGATTGCGTTCGAAACGAAAACGAAATGAGAACGCTTTAAAAAACCGGTTTAATCCGCAAGACGGTGCCGCGCGGGCTGTAAGGGCGGCGTACATTTATTTTATTACGTTATTTACAGTATGCGATGCAAAAAAAAACGCAAAATAAATGTTTAAAAACGTTTTATTAACCGAAAATAATATAATTCTGTTTTTTTCCAAAATCGTTTTTTATATCGTTCTGTTCGAACGAAACCGAAACAAAGTGTTTTTTAGGTATTTAAGATGAAAACGTTTCGAAAAATATACCTACCGATTTCCGACCGCTGGTTGAGGGTCCGTCCGTATGATCCAATGCAGTAAGCTAT